CCGTAGGGAGGCTATATACAGGGGGGTACCGGTGCAGAGTCAATGTGCGGGGGCACCGGCTAGTCGAGGTAATTGAGGTAATATGTCAATGACTACATTTCCTATGCATTTTGCTATATTTCCTATTCAAACTCATTTCATGTATGTTTTCATGGAAAACAAGGACATTTCTAAGTGACCCCAAACTTTTGAACGGTAGTGTAGTACGGGTAGCCATTTGATTAACTGCTCAGCATTCATATGGCTTGGGGGTAGAAGCTGTTGAGAAGCCTTTTGGACCTAGACTTGGCGCTCCGGTACCGCTTGCCGTGCGGTAGCAGAGAGAACAGTCTATGACTAGGCTGGCTGGAGTCTTTGACAATTTTGAGGGTCTTCCTCTGACACCGCCTGGTATAGAGGTCCTGGATGGCAGGAAGCTTGGCCCCAGTGATGTACTGGGCCATACGCACTACCCTCTGTAGTGCCTTGCGGTCGGAGGCCGAGCAGTTGCCATACCAGGCGGTGATGCAACCAGTCAGGATGCTCTCGATGGTGCAGCTGTATAACTTTTTGAGGATCTGAGGACCCATTCCAAATGTTTTCAGTCTCCTGGGGGGGGATAGGCTTTGTCGTGCCCTCTTCACGACTGTCTTGGTGTGTTTGGACCATGATCTACTATCATTGCTACGCTGACGATACACAACTAATCTTCTCCTTTCCCCCTTCTGATAACCAGGTGGCGAATCGCATCTCTGCATGTCTGGCCGACATATCAGTATGGATGACGGATCACCACCTCAAGCTGAACCCTGGCAAGACGGAGCTGCTCTTCCTTCCGGGGAAGGACTGCCCGTTCCATGATCTCGCCATCACGGTTGACAACTCCGTTGTGTCCTCCTCCCAGAGTGCGAAGAGCCTTGGCGTGACCCTGGACAACACCCTGTCGTTCTCCGCTAACATCAAGGCGGTGACCCGATCCTGCAGGTTCATGCTCTACAACATTCGGAGAGTACGACCCTGCCTTACACAGGAAGCGGCACAGGTCCTAATCCAGGCACTTGTCATCTCCCGTCTGGATTACTGCAACTCGCTGTTGGCTGGGCTCCCTGCCTGTGCCATTAAACCCCTACAACTCATCCAGAATGCCGCAGCCCGTCTGGTGTTCAACCTTCCCAAGTTCTCTCACGTCACCCCCCTCCTCCGCACACTCCACTGGCTTCCAGTTGAAGCTCGCATCCGTTACAAGACCATGGTGCTTGCCTATGGAGCAGTGAGGGGAACGGCACCTCCGTACCTTCAGGCTCTGATCAGTCCCTACACCCAAACGAGGGCATTGCGTTCATCCACCTCTGGCCTGCTGGCTCCCCTTCCTCTGCGGAAGCATAGTTCCCGCTCAGCCCAGTCAAAACTGTTCGCTGCTCTGGCACCCCAATGGTGGAACAAGCTCCCTCACGACGCCAGGACAGCGGAGTCACTCACCACCTTCCGGAGACATTTGAAACCCCACCTCTTTAAGGAATACCTGGGATAGGATGAAGTAATCCGTCTAGCCCCCCCCCCCCCCAAAAAAAAAAAAAGTGTTGTAAAGTGGTTAACCCACTGGCTATAGGGTGAATGCACCAATTTGTAAGTCGCTCTGGATAAGAGCGTCTGCTAAATGACTTAAATGTAAATGTAAATGTAATAGTTTGTTGGTGATGTGGACACCAAGGATCTTGAAGCTCTCAACCTGTTCCACTACAGCCCCGTCGATGAGAATGGGGGCGTGCTCAGTCCTATTTTTTTTCCTGTAGTCCACAATCATCTCCTTTGTCTTGATCACGTTCAGTGTTTCCCAAAATGTATAAAGTACAGTGCCTTGCAAAAGTATTCATTCCCCTTGGCGTTTTTCCAAATGTCTTGCATTACAACCTGTAATTTAAATGGATTTTTATTTGGATTTCATGTAATGGACATACACAAAATAGTCCAAATTGGTGAAATGAAATGAAAAAAATTAATTACGTAAAAGTGGTGCGTGCATATGTATTCACCCCCTTTGCTATGAAGCCCCTAAATAGGATCTGGTGCAACCAATTACCTTCGGAAGTCGCATAATTAGTTAAATAAGGTCCACCTGTGTGCAATCTAAGTGTCACATGATCTGTCACATGATCTCAGTATATATACACCTGTTCTGAAAGGCCCCAGAGTCTGCAACACCACTAAGCAAGGGGCACTACCAAGCAAGCGGCACCATGAAGACCAAGGAGCTCTCCAAACAGGTCAGGGACAAAGTTGTGGAGAAGTACAGATCAGGGTTGGGTTATAAAAAAATATCAGAAACTTTGAACATCCCACGGAGCACCATTAAATCCATTATTAAAAAGTGGAAAGAATATGGCACCACAACAAACCTGCCAAGAGAGGGCCGCCCACCAAAACTCACGGACCAGGCAAGGAGGGCATTAATCAGAGAGGCAACAAAGAGACGTTTACATTTTACATTTTAGTCATTTAGCAGACGCTCTTATCCAGAGCGCATGCATGTTTTTTTAAATTATTTTTTTATACTGGCCCCCTGTGGGAATCGAACCCACAACCCTGGCGTTGCAAGCGCCATGCTCTACCAACTGAGCTACACAGGGCCCAAAGATCAACCCTGATGGAGCTGCAAAGCTCCACAGCGTAGATTGGAGTATCTGTCCATAGGACCACTTTAAGCCGTACACTCCACAGACTGGGCTTTACGGAAGAGTGGCCAGAAAAAAAGGCATTGTTTAAATAAATAAATTAGCAAACACATTTGGTGTTCGCCAAAAGGCATGTAGGAGACTCCCCAAACATATGGAAGAAGGTACTCTGGTCAGATGAGACTACAATTGAGCTTTCTGGCCATCAAGGAAAACATTATGTCTGGCGTAAACCCAACACCTCTCATCACCCCAAGAACACCATCCCCACAGTGAAGCATGGTGGTGGCAGCATCATGCTGTGGGGATGTTTTTCATCGGCAGGGACTGGGAAACTGGTCAGAATTGAAGGAATGATGGATGGCGCTAAATACAAGGAAATTCTTGAGGGAAACCTGTTTCAGTCTTCCAGAGATTTGAGACTGGGACGACGGTTCACCTTCCAGCAGGACAATGACCCTAAGCATACTGCTAAAGCAACACTTGAGTGGTTTAAGGGGAAACATTTAAATGTCTTGTAATGGCCGAGTCAAATCCCAGACCTCAATCCAATTGAGAATCTGTGGTATGACTTAAAGATTGCTGTACACCAGCAGAACCCATCCAAATTGAAGGAGCTGGAGCAGTTTTGCCTTGAAGAATGGGCAGAAATCCCAGTGGCTAGATGTGCCAAGCTTATAGAGACATACCCCAAGAGACTTGCAGCTGTAATTGCTGCAAAAGGTGGCTCTACAAAGTATTGACTTTGGGGGGAGGGGGGGGGTGAATAGTTATGCATGCTCAAGTTCTGTTTTTTTGTCTTATTTCTTGTTTGTTTCACTCCCAAAAATATTTTGCATCTTCAAAGTGGTAGGCATGTTGTGTAAATCAAATGATACAAACCCCCCAAAAATCAATTTTAATTCCAGGTTGTAAGGCAAACAAAATAGGAAAAATGCCAAGGGGGGTGAGTACTTTCGCAAGACACAGTCTGTCTCTCAGCCTGACTGTATGTTGTGGTGTCTTTTGGCCTGTGTTTTTTTTTATTGAAAACTTAAGCGCTTTGGTAAGGACTTGCGACAATTGCACAGAAAGGGGAGGATGATACTGCAAAGGTCTCATATGTTTGTCTGTCTGTTTTAATATTTCAATCCCTTAACTGATTCCCATGTTTTAAAGGGGGATGGGTCAGTCCAATTTTTTATCAAAACCAGAGGAGTAATTTGACCCACTTCTTAACTGTTCTGCTTTGCTCGTTACCATGACTTCAGTCTGTCCTCAGGGATCTGTTGTGTCATCAGGTATAGGCCCAGCCCAGGCAATAATGTCTTAAACTTAACTAGTGCAATTCATCAGTTGCATTTCTATTGTTTACAGTACTTATTTAATTACTTTAATTATATATAAAGACAGCTGTATTTCTGTCTGCTCTTGTTCCCTTTATTTAATGCAGAACTATACCATTGTCTACAGCAGCTTCAATGTCTCTTAGTGATATGTCAAATGAGGTCAGGTGCCATACAACCTGCATAGTGCTCTTTGTAAGGAGGGAGACCCTCATATTTGACTGGTCTGTGACCCACTGAACACTTCAAATACTAATGTTACATCTCTCTGTAATTTTGTCATCCATTAAAAAAATCCCTTCTCACCCTACTTCAAAACAAAACCACTGCCAACAACCTCTGACCCAACTGCATAAGCCCCCCCTCAACTCAGTTAGCGTTGCCTCGACACAATTCAGGTTTCTTTATTAGCATGACAAATATACATTCTTGTTGCTAAAGCATGTATGCCATTAACAGAACAGTAAACAAAGACAACAATGCACTCTGTGATATTTCTTTCCCTCCGGGGGACCTCCCACCTCCTGCATTGTTTATTTACGGATGTGCCATCCCAGATAATTGGACCCAAATAAAGGGGAGGGCAGGGGGTGGGTGGAGGGCGCCTGTGAACAGGACAGAGAGTCACGCTACGGGACTCAAATGTTCCAAGCCCCCGTCCCGCCGTCTTTTGCTGCCTCACATTGTATTTGTCACATGCTTCGTAAACAACAGGTGTAGACTAACAGTGAAACGCTTACATCTTAGAGTAATTCTGTACTTTCCCAACAGAGTGCATCTATATAATCTACACTTGTAAGCACCTGCACAGTTCCATTGGTCCAGGGCATTATGTTGTTATTAGTACATTAACACTGGAACAATGAAGGACTGTGCAGAAGCTGGTATGAAGTCACATAAAGCTTGAAATGTTCCTTACAGATATATAATTTGACATGCAAAGAAAACAATCACATGAACTGACTATAGAATAAAATGGATGTGGAATGACTCAAGCACTATGGTATTGAGAGTCTGCAGGGACTTATGGCAGAGAGGGGCAGCCTTGAATGTTACCCTCTAGAATGACGTTTTTTAAGTCCACCGGGCAGTTGACAGGGAACACGGTGTGGGTAGTGTTCTTTCTCTCCACCAATGTGGCCACGGCCTCACCAAGGTCCAGGTGGTTCAGGTAATCAGGAGCCATGCGCTCTGGAGGGGCCACACCTGTGTTGATCTTTACCTGAAAGAGCAAGATAATGGAAGCCAGTTGGCATTGATTAATGATAGTCAATCTACTGTATATGAAACAGCAAACAAGGCAAGGAAAGGTTGTATTTACAATCGCATGCTGCAGACAACTTTTATCAACAATTTCTATTTGGGCAGATTGAGACAAGTACTGCAACTGATAACATGGTCCTGAATATCCCCCAGCTAACTATCTTACCAAACAATGGGATGTGTTTTATGTTATGGATCTTGGCCAAACCTGGTTGAGTTTGCAGGGCACTTCTGGGTACTCCTCTCGTAATACCTGACAGAATGCCAGGGTGCTGGCGGCGCCAACAGTTAGGAACCCTGTACCTGGCATCAACAGCTTCTCCCCGGCACCACCTGTGGCACAGCACACATCACTGCCAAATAACACTCAAGTCATACTCAGCAAGTGCAAGGAGAAAAATCATGTTTTATCAAGTGGGGAAGAAAGTTGTTCCTCAAGACAAAGTGTTGCACATCTGTCACTCAAACTTGGCCAATGGTTCAATCACTTTCACATAATGCTCAGAAGGACATACACTACTGTACTGGCTGCAGGGCTGGCTCTAGCCTTTTGGTGGCCCTAAGCGAGATTTGGTGAGGGGCAAAACATTTTAGCGGCCCCCCTCTTGACAGTGGAGAGTTTTAAAGTTAATTTCCTGCAATTTTACACATTTTGCCATGGGGAGTACAGAAGATTTCAGTTTTAAAAAAGGCCCAGTGCAGTCAAAAATGTGATTTCCTTGTGATATTTACATTTTTTTTATTTGTCATACATTTGCTACAATTTCTAAAAACCTATTTTTGCTTTGTCATTATAGGGTATTGTGTGTAGATTGATGAGGGGAAAAAAACAATTTAATCTATTTTAGTCAAGGGGTCTGAATACTTTCCGAATGCACTATACACTACAGTGCCTTCGGAAAGTATTCAGACCCCTTGACTTTTTCCACTTTGTTACGTTATAGCCTTATTCTAAAATGAATTAAAAACATACATACACATATATATATCCTCAGCAATCTACACACAATACCCCATAATGACAAAGTGAAAGTTTTGCTAATTTATTAAAAAATACAACTGAAATACCTTATTTACATAAGTATTCAGACCCTTTGCTATGAGACTCGACATTTAGCTCAGGTGCATCCTGTTTCCATTGATTGGAGTCCACCTGTGGTAAATTCAATTGATTGGACATGATTTGGAAAGGCACACACCTGTCTATATAAGGTCCCACAGTTGACAGTGCATGTCAGAGCAAAAACCCAGCCATGAGGTCGAAGGAATTGTCTGTAGAGCTCCTAGACAGGATTGTGTTGAGGCACAGATCTGGGGAAGGTTATTGAAAAAATGTCTGCAGCATTGAAGGTCCCCAAGAACACAGTGGCAGAAGGGTGACCAAGAACCCGATGGTCACTCTGACAGAGCTCTAGAGTTCCTCTGTGGAGATGGGAGAACCTTCCAGAAGGACAACTATCTCTGCAGCACTCCACCAATCAGAGCTTTATGGTAGAGTGGCCAGACGGAAGCCACTCCTCAGTAAAAGGCACATGACAGCCCGCTTGGGGTTTGCCAAAAGGCACTTAAAGACTCTCAGTCCATGAGCCACAAGATTCTCTGATGAAACTAAGATTGAACTCTTTGGCCTGAATGCCAAGCGTCACGTCTGAAAGAAACCTGGCACCATCCCTACGGTGAAGCATGGTGGTGGCAGCATCATGCTGTGGGGGTGTTTTTCAGCAGCAGGGACTGGGAGACTAGTCAGGATCAAGGCAAAGATTAACTGAGGAAAGTACAGAGAGATCTTTGATAAAAACCTGCTCCAGAGTGCTCAGGACCTCAGACTGGGGCGAAGGTTCACCTTCCAACAGGTCAACGACCCTAAGCACACAACCGACAATGCAGGAGTGGCTTCGGGACAAGTCTCTGAATGTCCTTGAGTGACCCAGCCAGATCCCAGACTTGAACCTGATCTAACATCTCTGGAGAGACCTGAAAATAGCTGTGCAGCAACGCTCCACATCCAACCTGACAGAGCTTGAGAGGATCTGCAGAGAAGAATGGGAGAAACTCCCCAAATACAGGTGTGCCAAGCTTGTAGCGTCATACCCAAGAAGACTCAAGGCTGTAATTGCTGCCAAAGGTGTTTCAACAAAGTACTGAGTAAAGGGTCTGAATACTTATGTAAATGTGATATATATATATTTTTTTTGTTGTTGTAATTTCTACAAACCTGTTTTTGCTTTCTCATTATGGGGTATTGTGTGGAAAAAGTCAAGGGGTCTGAATACTTTCCGAAGGCACTGTATATATACAAAAGTATGTAGACACCACTTAAAATTAGTGGATTCAGCCACACCCGTTGCTGACAGGTGTATAAATTCGAGCACACAGCCATGCAATCTCCATAGACAAACATTGGCAGTAGAATGGCCTTACCGGTGAGCTCAGTGACTTTCAACGTGGCAACGTCATGGGATGCCACCTTTCCGACAAGTTAGTTCGTCAAATTTCTGCCCTGCTAGAGCTGCACTGGTCAACTGTAAGTGCTGTTATTGTGAAGTAGAAACGTCTAGGAGCAACAACGGCTCAGCCGCGAAGTGGTAGGCCACACGAGCTCACAGAACGGGACAGCCGAGTGCTGAAGCGCATAGCGCGTAAAAATAATCTGTCCTCGGTTGCAACACTCACTACCGATTTCCAAACTGCCTCTGGAAGCAACGTCAGCACAAGAACTGTTTGTCGGGAGCTTCATGAAATGCGTTTCCATGGCCGTGCAGCCGCACACAAGCCTAAGATCACCATGCGCAATGCCAAGCATCAGCTAGAGTGGTGGAAAGCTTGCCGCCATTGGACTCTGGAGCAGTGGAAACGCGTGTGCTGAATCACGCTTCATCATCTGGCAGTCCGACAGACAAATCTGGGTTTGGCGGATGCCAGGAGAATGCTACCTGCCCAAATGCAGTGCCAACTGTAAAGTCTGGTGGAGGAGGAATAATGGTCTGGGACTGTTTTTCATGGTTCTGGCTAGGCCCCTTAGTACCAGTGAAGGGTAATCTTAACGCTACAGCATACAATGACATTCCAGACGATTCTGTTCTTCCAACTTTGTGGCAACAGTTTAGGGGAAGGCCCTTTCTTGTTTCAGCATGACAATGCCCCTGTGCATAAAGAGAGGTCCATACAGAAATGGTTTGTCGAGATTGGTGTGGAAGAACTTGACTGGCCTGCACAGAGCCCTGACCTCCACCCCATCGAACACCTTTGGGATTAATTGGAACACCGACTGCGAGCCAGGTCTAATCGCCCAACATCAGTGCCCGACCTCACTAATGCTCTTGTGGCTGAATGGAAGCAAGTCCCTGCAGCAATGTTCCAACATCTAATGGAAAGCCTTCCCAGAAGAGTGGAGGCTGTTATAGCAGCAAAGGGGGGACCAACTCCATATTAATGCCTTTAATTTTGGAATGAGATGTTCGACAAGCACGTGTCCACATACTTTTGGTCATGTAGTGTATTTCTACACTACAAGGTTGGAATAATACTGTGAAATTGTGAACATGATGATAATGCCCTTTTAGTGTAAGAGCTGTTTGAAAAGACCGCCTGAAATGTATGCCTGTTTTGGTGGGATGGAGTTGATATCAACATGCAGCAAATTAGTTAATAGACCAATAAGAAAGAGTGCCAAACCTCTCTGCCAATACCAGCTCATTTTCAGTTTTCCCCTCCCCACTCAGGCCACTACCAGACAGTCCTAGCAAAATTTGCTTGAGAAATTGCTCTTTGCTAAGAAACTATTTTTGTTTATTTTGGACAATTTTAATTGAAATCAACCACAGTAAGGTACTTCATTGTTACCAGAAATGATATTGAGATAAAAACGTCTGAATTGGACTGTTTAAGCACATTTTCCACAATTCTACATATTTTGCCATGGGCGGAGAGAAAACATTACAATTTTATAACACATTTTATGCAATTCTACTCATTTTACCATGGGGCAGGGAGATTGTTTGTTTGTTTTTACAGCTAATTTTCTGCAATTTGACCGCTTATGCCTGGAACTGGCCCTGACTGGCTGGGATGTTGGGAGGGGCCCAGGTGGGAGACTCACCTGTGATAAAGGTGTAAGTGCAGTTGGGGTCGTCTCTCACCAGTGGAAAGAAAACCTTCCATGATACAAAGGTGCTGAACAGCAATGTCTCAATCACCTATGGGTGGATGAGAAGAATGAGTAAAATAATAGATTAATATGGAGAAGAAAGGAGGGAGAGAGGTGGCGAATTCAAGACGAGTGGAAAATCGAGATAGATGTGGAACTGATAACAAAGAGATGAAGACTGTGGAGTGTGGCTTAAAAACAATGAAGTCATGGCAGCTTAAAAGATAATGGTGATGATATCAACTCTGGATCGTGGATTAGTCTGTGAGGTGTTTTGAGGACTCACCCAGTGTAGTTCTTTCAAAGTCTGGCTATGTGGAGGTCCACCCTGCCACCAGCTGAAGCCCAGAGATGACACAATGTCTGTCACCTTGCCAACAGACTTCAGAAGGGCCTGCTTGACCACCTCTGCCCCCTCCTCTGAACCTAAGAAAAAGAGTAACAGAGTTTGAGAGGTGTTTCCGTACACTACGTTTTGGGGATATGGGATACCTTCAACAATACTCTCACTTGTAAAATGTGTCTATGTAAAATTGTGTTTCTGACTAAATGTCTTACCAACATTCCCAACTAGGGTGGTGAGGTTGTCTCGGGTAGAGGTAGAAACAAACCCCCTGAGCTTCTCCAACCTGCTGTTGTCTCTGGAGATGACAGCCACCTTGAAACCTTAAAACAAGTACAGTACACAGTCACAATCAGGACATGTCATTATCAAATATGACTGACACATGGCAAACAAAAGGGCAATTTTACTGCAGTAGATGGTTTTGCTTATTTATAACTCTGTTTCCTATAACATTGTAGAATATAATGTTACTATACCATTCAAAAATATATATAATTCAAGAAACCAGAATAACCACTTGACAAGCAATGGCAACTTGTCACTTTAGGAATTACTGTGTGGTTAGACAAATGAATGTTAACAAGATTGAAATTATGATACCCTCAAACAAAAAGTACATCCCAAAAGGGCTATACCAATCAATTAACTCAGCGTCGTGACATTTTGATCCAAACCATACATTTATTATCTATTGCGTCCCGACGAACCTGTGCCTAGCCTAAGCCTTTTTACCAGCACTATTGACGATAATTTTTATTTTTATATTAACATTATTGTTGATGTTAACTGCTAGTTGGATTTCAATTTCTAAGACCTCAAGATGATGTCAAGTTTTCGGATATTCTTAAGAGTATCACACCTTGAATTATGTGCGTAAATGAGATGCCGGTTATCTTACACGCGGATGCACTCATTACAACCACCTTGACACCAGCCTAATCCTTCTTTCCCGCGCAGTCTCAATTACTCAAATGTTTATTTCATCTATTACCCAACAATATACCTTGAGAAACGCACAAATCAACTAACTTCCTAGCAGAGCCATGTTGATCCAGCCGACAACGACCAGCCATGCATAAAATGGCAAACCTCTTCATATTTAGCAGACCTCTTCATATATAGCCTATCCTACATATTTTGCACGCAGGACATTAAGATTCATTGCACCACTTAATCCGGCCCATTGATCGTGGGCAGAGGCATTGTCTTGGCGCAGGTGTATCGGTTCCAAGTCTTCAAATGCTCCCTAACTCAATGAGGACATCTTACCTTTGTCAAGGAGTGCTTTAACTATTCCAGAGCCCACTGTTCCTGCTCCACCGAGAGCTAACACAACTCTGTCCGCGTTTGACATGCTGGATAGGTCCACAGGACTGAACAAATGAACAGTTTTAATGAGGCTGACAGTCTGAGTCTATGAAGAGCATCTTGTACCGCCCGGGATCTTTAAACAAATCATAGGGGCCACAGTTACGCCCTTCTACCAGTGTCGCTGAAGCCACGCCCGTATCAGGTGAAAGAACAACCCCCAAAACCTAGCTGATTTGGTCGCTCTATCGCTCTCAGAATGACAGTGACTACATTTACATGCACACAGTATTCCGGATAGTAGCTCATATCCCGCATAAGGTCTTATTCGGGATAAACTGTTTACATGCACCTTTGATATCCCGTTCAGGAATATCCCTTTATCCGTGAAGAAACATAATATTCCTAAATTAAGTTGATATGGGTTAAATTGAATTGTACCTGAAATATGACACTGACTGTAGGCCTAAGACCTCTCACATGTAGCGTAATATAATATTAAATCCAGCAGAATTATGCATTTCTTGCAGTAAAATTATACAACAAATGTATTTTTTTTCTCGGGAACAGGAGTGGAGAAATATGATTTCTTTCTTTCAGCATCTCTTGAGGAAATGTGAAGGAGCATGTAATGTGTTATATTTGACAGTGTTATGCAAGCAGACAGTATTTCAACAACATATGAAGTCTTATCAGCAACGTGTTTCATCGTTTTCTCAGCTTTTCATTCCCTTAATTAAAACCGGTCAAACTGATGACGTTGGACATTTTGCACAGGACTAATCTTTCCACTGTTTTGGAGTTATTGCGGTTATTGCGGTCTCTAAACGAAACAGACAACTTTACCGGTGTTAACTAGATTCATGCATTCATTCTATCGATGTAAGACATTATTCTGGTGAGAACTACTTTATTTAGTCTTCTAGGGCAACAAGTTATGACAGAACAGAAGATGCATATATCTAACTATAGTTTACACACAAATGTCCTACGTAATGTCCGAAATTATAATATGGCCTACCAAATGTCGGAAATTATAAGCAGAAACTTGTCTAAATTAGGGGTGAAAGTAGCCAGGATGCTATACGGTCCAGTACGGAGTAACAGCAAAATAAATTATTATGGAATTATTATTGTGAATCGAACTGCGCAGGTCGCCTACTTTTTGAAGTGATTTGGGGATATGATGTTTATATGCGTCAACTCAAAAACAGAATACTTGAGTATCCCGAATAATAACGCAATATTGGTGTGCATGTAAACATGGTCAGTGAAAAAATGATGACATCAATAGAATATCGCGCCCTCTGGTGGAGGAAAACATAGATTTAGGATGAGCTCAAAGCAGCCTGTTGAATTCATAGATGTATATTCATAGGCACAGACTCTCTTGCTGTATTTTGAATATTTATATTGCTGTATATGAAGAAAAAAAGAAATACGCAATTGATTGGTTTGGTAATTTGTGAAGTATAAAAATGTACTTATTTTGTCAAACCATGCGCCGGGCCGGCGAGCTAAATCGAAGAGCCCCACACTTTTAGGGTGACACGTGACGGGGTTTATTTTTCGGAACTTAGGGTTGGGTTGAAATCACGCTCGTCAATTTTTACAGCAGTGTTTCTTGCATTCGTGATGGTTTAGGGAAAGGTCCTACCAAATAGAAAGTGTTGGTGAGTTTTTTGTTTGTTTGCATCTGGGTTTCATATGTTTACATTATTTAACTCCGACAGCAGCTGTAAGTTAGCTAGTAAGCAAGCTAGCTATATTACTTAGCATATAGCTAGCTGACTGGCTAGCTAACGTAGTGGCCAGAACGCGCCAGCAAGTGGACGATGGAGTCGTGCGCTTGAATTTCATAACTAAAATTGTTTCTTTAAACATAGTGTCAGCAAAATTGTACGTGCTGGTGTCATTGGCCGAGCCCAGTAAGATGCGCAAAAGCTAGCTAGCGAAGGAAAAGTTTGCTAGTTAACTGGCTTACAGTTTTTTTTGACACTGTTGTATTTTGACATTAACGTTTCTGCTGACTTGTAATGCAAGTAAAAGTTGTAACATTTTGTCTAATATTTATAACGTAACGCGTTATCAACTATTTTCGCTAGAATGCTAGCTAGTTACTGAAGTCTAATCAGGTCACTTTCGCTTTCATTTTAGGGAGGGCGACATTTTCAGCCTTAATGTAATGACTATGTATTGCATGGGAACATTCTTCTGGGATGGAAATGTGTGATAAACATACGTGATTAAAAAATAATAATAGCTAGGTCAAATAAGTCCAGTTGCAGTGGAGTTCAGTCAAGGGGTTTCATTGATGAAACCTCTGATTTCATTATTTTGTCCTTGTTGTGTTTTCTATGTAGCTGAGATGACTGTCCCTGGGAATAAAGCCAGGGATCTGGTGGAACTGTATCGGGTCAGTTTGGAGCACCGAATTGAGCAGGGTGACTGGAACCTAGTATGCAGAGATGAGGAACTGTTTAAGGAGGTAGAGGGACTGCTGAGGGGTGGCTGTGCCCAGGACACACACTCCTTGGGACTGGACCCCCTCAGTGTAATGGAGGACTCGCTTCAGACAGCACAAGGAGTCAGATTGAAGGGGCTGGCTAGAGCCTTTGAAGTGCTGGAACTGGCAGCCCTCAACCTGTACTTGTGTCCCTGGAGAAAGGAATATAGAGTGGTAAAGGTATGCTAATTTGGGGGAGATACTGGTAACTGCGACAATGAAGGAAACGGCAACATAAAGTGTCTTGATGGGGCGTTGGGCCACAATGAGCTGCCAGAACAGCTTCTATGCGCCTTGGCATAGATTCTACAAGTGTTTGGAACTCTGTTGGAGGGATGCGACACCATTCTTCCACGAGAAATTCCATAATTTTGTGTTTTGTTGATGGTGGTGGAAAATGCTGTCTCAGGCAGCACTCCAGCGGTGTTCAATTGGGTTGAGATCTGGTGACTGACCCTAAGCATGATGGGATGTTTTAATTGCTTAATTAACTCAGGAACCACACCTGTGTGGAGGCACCTGCTTTCAATATACTTTTTATCCCTCATTTACTCAAGTGTTTCCTTTATTTTGGCAGTTACCTGTATATTGGTGGAGTGCTCATCAATAATGTATAATCTCATCACGAATGCTGTTTTGGCTTCAATTGTGTGGAAAAAGACTTTGCCTGTCCAGAAAGATAATTTGTTCTGTTCCTACATTTGAATAACAATACAACCTTCCTCCTTATAGATGTTCTCAGGCATGTTCACACATTACATCAAGCCGGCGCTGTCCATGCAGCAGGTGGCCGATCTGTTTGGGTTGCTTGGATACCAGGCTTCAGAGGCCAGACTATGTGAAGAGCTTAGGCTTCGTTCCCCAGGCCTACCAGTGGACACTCTTCTCCGCCTGTCCTGTGCTTTCTTTGCTGCACGTTGTGAGTGTCGCCTACTGCTGTCTGCCATAGGACCCCAGGCCAGAGGGGTGGAGTGGGAGCTCAACCTGGTACAGGAGAGGCAGAAAGGTCACAGCCTGCAGATAGCACTGGACAACAGCAAGATAAGGTTGGAGACTTTACCACAGGAAGAGGATTTTCTGAAGTTGTCTACTATAGAGGCAGACTTGGATCTGTACACAGCTGATGAGTTTAATGGGCATAAAGAAGTTGGGTTTGTCAGAGATCCTCTCTATTCAAAAAGATGGGTGTACCACAGTAACGCGAGAGGGCTTTCCTCTCAAAGAGAGAATATCTGTGTCTCCTCACTGACATACAAGTTGACTAGGACCCCCTCATTAGCACCAACAAACACCGCAACCCACAAGCAAAGGGAAAGTCCAAATAAAGAGTTGGCCATGTCAGGGTCAGATAAGGTGGATTCACACTCGCTGTCTGCAAAAGCATCAGGGAATGCTGTGTCTCCAGGGGGCAGTTGGATCTGCAGCTGTAGCAATTCCTACTCTAGTCTTTGCATATATGTCCATCATTGCAAGAATTGCAATACCTTACATAGCTTGAACTGCCACATAGTGGAGAGGTGCGAAGACGAGGGGCATGAAGTAAAACATATTGCCGGTGATGAAGTCCTACAGGAGCAGAGAGAGAGTAGTGGATTATCACCACGGCTAGGAAGTCCTGGAGCGGGAGGTGTGCCACTCTACGAGGATAAGAGAGAGTCCTGCCCTCCACTTGATGTCATTGAAGCAAGAAGCCTTACCCCTCAGCCCATTCCTTTTCATGAATGTTGCGACACTGCCAATCCAGACCCTGAGGTTACCTGCCTCACCTGCAGGGTCTTCCACACTAGCGCCTGTAAAATGTTGGAGACGTGCCGGAGAAAGCATGAGATGCTCATGTTGGGTGTCTGCTCAAGTGGGTTGTCGTGCACAAGGCCCCCTTTCAAACTATGCAGGTACTGCAGTGTTGAGTATTGTAAAGACTGTTGGTATAGAACACCACTTGAATGTGTTTGTGGCCACCCCTTTGACGAGTCCTCCGAAGTTTGAATTTAAGAACCATTTTAAAGGCACTTGATGGAATTGGGGAAAAGCACTGATAAAATAAAATGCCTGAAAGGCTCCTTAGAATCAATATTCCTCCATAAATATAACAATGGCAATCACTTACACGTTGCCTTAAATTAACAATACTCTTAACTTGTAATAAGAATTTATAAATTAGCTTTATCCCACCCAGGGATTAAAAGTGAACTGCCAAACTCTTCTATATTTTTCTACTTTAGTCTCTCAGTAGGACCTTAAATTGCCCTGAAAGTGGTGTTGTTTTTCATGATAATTCGTCCAGTGTCATTGACCGTTGGGATCTGGAGCCTTATACTTATGTTAGACGTCTAAAGCAAGTGATGCATGTTGCAGCTCAAGAATTGAGATAATACTGCCAAATGTGGGTTGAGGTTAAGTTGCTTGTTTTCATTATTTGTTCTGTTGTCAGAAAGATATTTGAATAAAAATGGGATTTAAAATGGGAACAGATGTCTCTTGTGCATTTTAGATGTTGAAATGCAGGACACTACAGCATATAAGAAGTTATTCCGTTTTTTCTTTACTTCAACATTCAGCAAGATTTTCTCTGCGGTCAGCCATCTGAGCCCTATAATACAAATCAGGTTTGAGTAGCGAGGTAACTTTGGTCTATTCTGAGTTCAACTCGCGATTACTGATCACACAAATGTGGCTCACCTTTTAGCCAGGTAAATTTCTATGGCAACAAATCCTTCAGAACTAACCTGAAGGGTATACTACGTACTGGGTTTGAGGAGTCACAAGGTAACTTTGGTCAAATCTTAAGTTAAACTCAAGACAACTAGTCATACGAAAGTGGCTCACTTTTAGTCAGGTAAATTTATATGGCAATGAATCCTTCAGAACTGACCTGCTCCGGGGCAGGCTAACTCCACTTCTCCTGAATGAAGTGTCTGAGCCGTGAGTTGAGGACCAACTAAATAAGATTCCCTCCCCCTCGCAAATATTGCGTCATCATCCCTTTTATTTGAGGGAGACCACTGATTAATATTTTATTAATCAAATGCTTTTTTGTAAAGAAAGTGATATTAAAATACCTATAACATTATACATTTAATAATGACAGGATGCATTTGAAACTTCATGCACAGCAAAACATGACTTTATACAATTATTTAAAAGGTGCTTGCGCACACTTAACCTAAAAGACAGCACTTCTAATAGCCTATTTCACACCATAGCCTGCTGAATTTAAGAATATTCCTTTTAATGTTGATTTTGGAAAAAATGAAAATGTGGTACCGACTCGCCCAAGGATTGATGTTTCAGCATTGTCTGAATGATGAGTTCGGTGTTTGACTAGCCTTGTGTGACATGCACGCGCATTTACAAGCCTGCTAGAATTAACAGCAGGCTACCGAGCAATATCCACTGTCGTAATACGGATGAAGCCTGAGCTGTAATGTGAAGCTGGCTAGCTTTAGAAAACCCTGAGTAGATCTAGCTAGTGTTGTAGTATACCCCTCAGGTGACAGTCCACAGTTTAGAGTCAATATTTCAGGTCCTTAATGTTTGTGGACATTTTGATACAACTTGCAAGATAATTCAATATTCATTGACTACAAATCTGCCTCCATAAATACATACATTTATTTATAAAGAATGTACAGTAAGAGGAAAGGTTTCGGGATGGTCTTCATGGTCTGTTGCTATATTGTGTTCTTAGTGGGTGACTAGGTTTGTTTGAAACTGCTACTCATTCTGCGCTGCCCAGTTCACGTTGATTAAGGTTTTACTGTCCATGCGGTCAGTGGACTCCATCCAAGTGATCCATCTCATGCTGTTGGATGCGTGCGAGCCAGCCGCTCACCTGCCAGGTCACAGATTCTGCCCTTCTTGCAAGCCGAAGAACACCATCCCAACCATGAAGCACGGGGGTGGCAGCATCATGCTGTGGTGGTGCTTTGCTGCAGGAGGGACTGGTGCACTTCACAAAATAGATGGCATCATGAGGAAGGAAAATTATGTGGATATATTGAAGCAACATCTCAAGACATCAGTCAGGAAGTTAAAGCTTGGTCGCAAATGGGTCTTCCAAATGGACAATGACCCCAAGCATGCTTCCAAAGTTGTGGCAAAATGGCTTAAGGACAACAAAGTCAAGGTATTGGAGTGGTCATCACAAAGCCCTGACCTCAATCCTATAGAAAATGTGTGGGCAGAACTGAAAAAGCGTGTGCGAGCAAGGAGGCCTACAAACCTGACTCAGTTACACCAGCTCTGTCAGGAGGAATGGGCCAAAATTCACCCAACTTATTGTGGGAAGCTTGTGGAAGGCTACCCGAAACATTTGACCCAAGTTAAACAATTTAAAGGCAATGCTACCAAATACTAATTGAGTGTATGTAAACTTCTGACCCACTGGGAATGTGATGAAAGAAATAAAAGCTTAAATAAATAATTCTCTATTATTCTGACATTTCACATTCTTAAAATAAAGTGGTGATCCTAACTGACATAAGAAAGGGAATATTTACTAGGATTAAATGTCAGGAATTGTGAAAAACTGAGTTTAAATGTATTTAGCTAAGGTATGTAAACTTCTGACTTCAACTGTACATAGAAATGACTAGTTCCTGCAAAGATGTTGGGAAATGCAATATGTTTGGCAGCTAAAATGGTGAGGATTTTACTATCTTTCTGAATATTCTCTGGTTTTTGGAGAACCACTTGCAACTGAACACGGACATTTATAAGATACACTTTTCTTCCGAATCGAGAACGAAGAAAGTATCTTCAAGAACAGGTTAGTTGAAAAATTGCTTCCGACCCTTTCTACTAGCCAAGGTATAATGGTTACTATGGAAGTATTCATATATCACAGTTTTAATGTATAGCTACTGTGGAACATTTTACATATCTCACCTGACACTTCCACAGAGAGGTAGTGTGGAACAGTAGCTGAGAACCCTGAGATGCTCTCACAGGCCTCCTGGAACTTAACCGTGTGCCCATCCAGGACCCGCAGCTGGGGGTTGATAAAGATCTGCAGAGGCACAGTGGTGAGACCGCGGGCTTCACGTGCAGCAGGCAAGCTGTGACTCAACATGCGCTCTGGGAACTCCAGGGCTAAGATACGAAGTGGCACTCCAACCTGAGATGCACTCAGTCCCACACATTCAAACTTCCGCATCACCTTCACCATGGTGCGGATCACCTCCTGAACCTCCGGACCCTGTACTGCCCCAGAGTCCACCACTGCAGCCTGGGCTCGCAGCACCGGGTCACCCACCTGGCAGACATTTTAAAAAAATCATTTTAGTCATTTAGCAGACGCTCTTATCCAGAGCGACATACAGTTAGTGAGTGCATACATTTTTCATACTGGCCCCCCGTGGGAATCAAACCCACAATCCTGGCGTTGCAAGCGCCATGCTCTACCAACTGAGCTACAGACATGGGGGTATGGTGGCTGGATCTTCCGCTTCATATTCTGTAGGTATGAACAAACCTTTATGCTTGTAGAGTGAGACCGGGAAGGGGCCACAGAGGAGACAGGGACTACCCAGCCAGTGGAATGGGGCCTTTGAAACACATTCTGTAAGCCCTAGTCGACAGCGCTGAAGTACACAGAGTTCTATTCATGGCTGGGTCCAGTCCTGGCAGCACAGTCAGTCAGTTACCTCCCACTTGCAGGAGACAAGCAATGAACTGTCAATAAGGAATTCAACAGTTGTCAATATGGTCAACAACAGTGGTGAAAGAGAAAGGTTGATATGTACATGAAGTATGGCCTGTTTACCAAATCAGTATTTGTGGCCCGAGTATGAGCAAAATCCTTTCACATTATCACATAACTGCAAGGTCCCCCTAGTGAGAAGCTAGCCTAGCTAGCAAACAAATAGCTACAGCAGCCAGCTAACTTAGCTCACTGCGCACTAGACTATATGACATTGAACCAACACAAAAGTCTATGACTAACACGATTAGCTATTCCATGCAAGTGCTACACGTTTTCATACCTTAGTTACGTTTCCCTAAAATGTAAATACTATATTTGATTGTAGTAAGGACAGTGATGCCATTTTTATGTGAAAATACACACAAGCATGCCATTACAGCTAACCCAGATAATCACTTCCGAGTCAATTATCTTGTCAGGCCTTGGCAATAGGTGTGTTGGTGGAAACGGAAATTATTTTAAAGGGGTTGAGATTTCCTAAATGGGCTATCAGCGTTGCTACATCCATTTTTGGACTTATACATTAATTATATGTATCCATTGATTTTTGATTATAATGTATAACTTATACATGTCTCATGAGCTGCCATACCCCATCATAACCCAAAATATAAGCTTATTTTACTCCAATCTTTGTAAATAAAGTATACGTCCTTACCTTAACCATAAACCTTACCTAACCTTTACCTTAACAATTTTACATGTCAACTTCAACATGGTAAGGACGTCCCAAGGATTCCGGATAGCACAGACAAGTTCGTGACGGTCCTGACCCGGAAATATTCTGGACGCGTTTTCACTATCGAGCGAACAACTTGTCCGTACATGTCCAACCCGCTGTACATGCATATTCATTGAGGACCAATGACAGGCTTTGTTTTTCTGTTTTTGAACCAGAGTTTCCCCCCAAAAAAATAAGTAGATGGACTAAAATGACACTAATCTAATCAGGCACCTGATTCCGCTGCTGTGGACATTTTGCAGCAGTTCAAATAGATGGAGGAAAGAGGCCTTGAAAATCATTTCAAGCCGTCTGAGATGAAATGTTTGGAGATCATCCCAACGCTGCCGATGTGGATAATTGAATATGCCTGGGCTCACAGAATGATGGATACACTGGATGGTAAACAAAACATTTTTTCAATTTGTTCAAATCCGTGTTCATAAACAGAATATATTTTAAATAGTTAACACTAATTCAATTATTATATTATTAGACCTATATGGGCTAATATAGGACATGCAAAACATAATGAAGTTCAATTTAGTCAATAAGAAGGTGAAAATGGAATTGAAACATGGTATTAATAACCCCAAGCTGATAAATAGACACGATAGATGAAATTCCTTTAAAAGTAATAAACCTATTTGTTATATCCCTGTTTCTGTGTTCTCTAGGTCTGGACCCCAGCAGATGGCCAGAGGATGACCTGCAATCTCTCACCCTAGATGAGCCATGGAGGTTACGTGTGGCAGCTGCCCAGGCGTATTCTATAATGAAGACAAGGGACATCAAGAGCTTTGAGAGGGTGATGGAGTTCCTGGATGTTACCTATACACTGCTGCCACGACTGGTGCCCCCTATCAAACACATGAAAATCATGTTTGGCCTTAAGACCATGGTATGTAGAGGTTTCACATAAGGTAGAGAACAGTTGCAGGAAAGGGCTGGGGAATAGCAATATGTGGATGCATAGAGAGGTTTCCAAGGCCATGTATGCCTACTAATAAATTGGGCTGAATTGTTCAGGTACACCACTTATTTTCACTATGTTGTGGTTGTTGATTTTAGTTTTGGTGGAACAAAATGGCCAGCTGTGTTGATTTGTATTCTGGTACAGATAATTATGTGGATGCTTCGGGAAGACCAAGGTATTGTCAACACCGTTGTGAAGACCATTACGTTTTTTCCAAGTAGACTACCTCAGTACCATGAATGTGTAAGTAAATGCATTATAACTCTGCTTTATTTGGTTACTTTGATCTTTGGACAACACTGTTGACTAAACTGAATCAATTGTGTATCAGCAGCTCTGATCGACCCAGTGAGTATTGGGTTGCTGAGCTAAATGTCCTCTTTCTTTGCTCCTCTTCAGAGCCGCCAAGAGATGCACCTAATGAGGAAGAACCACCAGGACTTTAAGGCTTTGGCGCAGACTCTTGCAATGGACATGTCCATGCGCAAGGCTTATATCAAGGTTAGCTAAATCCCCATCGTCTGTTTTTCATGCTCCCTTTCTATTCCTCTCTTTGTCTACTTTAAAAAAACAACATTTTAGGCATTTTAGCAGATGCTCTTATCCAGAGTGACTTACAGTTAGTGAGTGCATACATTTGTTTATATATTTTTTTCATACTGGTCCCCCGTGGGAATCGAACCCACAACCCTGGCGTTGCAAGCGCCATGCTCTACCAACTGAGCTACACGGGACATATTCAGTGTTAAATTCGTCAACAAAAATATTTGTCAAGCACTTATTTTCAGTGGCAATTGACGAGACGATAACTGACTAAATAGACCCAGAAAAACTATAACAAAGCAAATTATTTTGTATTTCTGTTGACTAAACCTAGACGAGACAAAATTCTCTTTGACTAAAATCTGACTACTAAGTGGACTGAACAAGAGTTTTTGGAGAGATTGAGAGCTTTTCAGTTGTAAGCACAATTTAATATTAGCAGCACAGATTGCACAGTTCTGTTCAGCAGTGGGAAGGACCCGGCACACACAGCCTAGCCTAAATTGGCTGGTAAACGGCAGGGGAGCAAGCGATAAGTGTGGGCAGACAGGCTCTGCCTCCGATTATACACATCGCACAGGCGACTCTTGCTTCCCCATAGCTAACCAGTCACCACCAGCTTTTAATTTTCTACCCTTTGCCTGGTTAAGACTCTCAAGCTGCTTGTACGAAATTAAAAACAATAGCAGCATTGAGTTTAATAGTAAAACAACAGTCTAGCTATGTTTTTCTCCGTCTTGAGTATAGAAACATTTTTGAATTTGTAGACTTGCTCAACCCTTGCACTTTCCCCACTGCATTTCAAAACTAGGTTATGTAGCCAATGTACTAGCCAAGTCTCTGTCTTTTCCTCAGAGAAACAGCTTGATTCTAGACATTACCGTTCAAAAGATATGACCCATAATACCGGTGTTATGTTTTTTTCTTTCTATCGTACATTGGTGCCGCATTTTACATTCATAAAGCATATCGCGGACCGTTCTAAAACTAGGCTACTTGCAGACCGGACCGTTAAACATTTGTTTAGGCTACACCTTGTTCAGTCATGTTACCTCATTGCCATTGCCTTCGGAAAGTATTCAGACCCCTTGACTTTTTCCACATTTTGTTACATTACAGCCTCATTCTAAAATGGATTAAATAAAACAATTTCCTCAGCAATCTACACACAATACCCCATAATGACAAAGCAAAAACAGATTTTGGGAAATGTTTGCAAATATTTTCAAAACATTTCAGACCCTTTGCTATAAGACTCTAAATTGAGCTCAGGTGCATCCTGTTTTCATTGATCATCCTTGAGATGTTTCTACAACTTGATTGGAGTCCACCTGTGGTAAATTCAATTGATTGGACATGATTTGGAAAGGCACACACCTGTCTATATAAGGTCCCACAGTTGACAGTGCATGCCAAGCAAAAACCAAGCCATGAGGTCTAAGGAATTGTCCGTAGAGCGCCGAGACAGGATTGTGTCGAGGCACAGATCTGGGGAAGGGTACCAAAACATTTCTGCAACATTGAAGGTCCCCAAGAACATAGTGGCCTCCATCATTCTTAATTGGAAGAAGTTTGGAATTACCAAGACTCTTCCTAGAGCTGGCCGCCCGGCCAAACTGAGCAATCGGGGGAGAAGGGCTTTTGTCAGGGTAGTGACCAAGAACCCAATGGTCACTCTGACAGAGCTCTAGAGTTCCTCTGTGGAGATGGGAGAACTTTCCAGAAGGACAGCCATCTCTGCAGCACTCCAGATGGAAGCCACTCCTCAGTAAAAGGCACATAACAGCCCACTAGGAGTTTGCCAAAAGGCATCTAAAGACTCTCAGACCATGAGAAACAAGATTCTCTGGTCTGATGAAACCAAGATTAAACTCTTTGGCCTGAATGCCAAGCGTCACGTCTGGAGGAAACCTGGCACCATCCCTACGGTGAAGCATGGGGGTGTCAGAATCATGCTGTGGGGATGTTTTTCAGCGGCAGGGACTGGGAGACTAGTCAGGATCGAGGCAACGATGAACGGAGCAAAGTACAGAGAGATCCTTGATGAAAACCTGCTCCAGAGCTCTCAGGACCTCAGACTGGGGCGAAGGTTGATCTTCCAACAGGACAATGACCCTAAGCACACAGCCAAGACAACGCAGGAGTGGCTTCGGGAAAAGTCTCTGAATGTCTTTGAGTGTCCCAGCAGAGCCCGGACTTAAACCTGATCGAACATCTCTGGAGAAACCTGACAATAGCTGTGCAGCAATGCTCCCCATCCAACCTGACAGAGCTTTAGAGAAATGCTAAGAAGAATGGGAGAAACTCCCCAAATACAGGTGTGCCAAGCTTGTAGCGTCATACCCAAGAAGACTTGAGGCTGTAATCGCTGCCAAAGGTGCTTCAACAATGTACTGAGTAAAGGGTCTGAATACTTATGTAAATGTAATATTTCAACTTTTTATTTAAAAAAAAATTGCAAACATTTTCTAAAAACCTGTTTTTGCTTTGTTATAATGGGGTATTGTGTGTAGATTGATGAGGCAGATAAAAACAATTTAATCAGTTTTAGAATAAGGCTGTAACATAACAAAATGTGGAAAAAGTCAAGGGGTCTGAATACTTTTCGTAGGCACTGTAGGTAGGGGTAAAGTGACCCTGGTAACATTACCAGTAGCCTATATGCAAACATTTGGTGACACAGAAAGAAAGGAAAATGGATAACAAACAATTTATTGACTAAAACCCTCTTGCCACTACACTATCTGACTGGATAAATAATACATTATTTTGAGTTAATGTGGGCCCTGTGACTCAGACTTCCTGTGGAACCAGGACTCAAGCATGGGGACTCGGACTTCAGCCATAGGGACTCGTGACTCAACCATCGAGCACAGGGGACTCGGGACTCGATTTCGGACTTGAGGTTTAGTGACTCGACGACATCACTGGGCGAAACAGTCATTGGCTCCCGTTATACTTCTGACATCAATGTGGCTGCGGCATCTATGGAATGTTGATACAATTGGCAATGATGCGACCGAGTTACGGCGGTGCAACCCATACTACTTTGCCAGTACTTTGCAGCACCATCTGGTGATTGTGCTACTCTCTCTTCTCTTCTCTTCTCTTCTCTTCTTCTTTCTCTCTCTCTCTGCGCTTGCGTGTCTGTTTGTTTTGTATGTAATGTACAATATCTATGTAGGCTGAATTAGGAATTTACATGGCCAGATAATTCTTCTACAGTATATGTTTGTCATATTTCTGCTGTTGGGAAGATAATAGGATGTTATGCAGAAACATATGTTGGTAAGACATGGAAGTCAGTCATTTAAGTTTACTATAGGTTAATGAGGCAATACAATGTGATGTGACTAAAATAAAAGGGCATTTAGTTTACTAAAATGACTCACTGTTTTTGTTATTTTGACACTAAATCCTTATTCAAATGACAAAAATATGACTTAATTATATTATATAAAATGACTAAGACTAGACTAAATCTAAAAGGAGTGGCAGAATTAACACTGGCAGGATTACATAGGTGTAATTGACATGTTTATGCCTTGTGACCTTCAACTATGTGAAGTGTGACCTTCAACTATTCCTGGATTCAGTGGTTTCTGAGGAAGATGCACAATGCTGAATACATAATAGGCCAGTCTGAGATGATAGTGCCATTATAAAGGCTGGGTAGTGGTTAATTTGCTGTCCAGTAGGGGATGCTATATACCCAGCCTCTTGCTATACTCAGCCTTTAGTTGATTATGATGGAACTCCAAAGCAATGGAGATGGTTTGATGGAGCAATGCCTGTCTCCTCCTCTAGGGTTGAGGTGTTGTGTGTAGGGTGGAGTATATAGTATAAGTATTGATCTGCAGGTTCTCTTTCAGGATTTGATGGAGGACCAATATGGAGAATGCTATGCCCAGAAACTGGAGGACAGGTTGCTGCATTACCTTCAGGAACTGGAGTCGACACTGCAAAGTGATACATATTTTGACCAGGTGTGTGTGTGTACATACAATAATTATTGAGAATTCAATCAAATAGAGAATGTATGTTCTTATGCTATTACATAACTGTCAATGTCCTTGTTATCCATGTGAATGTGCCTATAGCTGTTGAAGCAGGAGTGTCCAATGGCATATGAAGAGGAGTTACTATTGCCGTTAATTACCTGTGACTCCACCTCCCTTGCTGCGTCCTTGAAGAGGCTATTCCACTCTGGTCAACAAACTCAGCATATTAAATATGACATACAGATGTAAACACAGTACAGTATGTAAGACCACCAGGAACATACAGTACTGTACATAAATACTTTGTCTTTCTATTCCTTCAGCCGAGTCTTCTTCAAGATGCCATCCCAGCCATAAGATGGGTGTTGGACCAGCACAGGAGAGGGGAATAGGCCGGGAGCTGGAGGATTCTGGGACCTCGAAAGTTGCTCTAAGGTTGCCCAAGGAGAGAACACACAAAGACGGGCAGTCACAGCCTGACAGGACAAGTCTCTACGCATCCCAGGGTATCTGTCAAGATAACCGAGAGGAGAGATCCAACTCATTGGAGTTGGGTCCACGACATGCTTGTGCAGCTGAGCAAGGTTTAGAGCCACAGGCGCTTATCGTGGAGCCGGGGGTGGATCTGTCCAAAGACAGTCCACTCCTGCTGGAGGAGGATGTCTCTGATGGGAAGGAGGGGAAGGAGGGGAGCCGAGGCAGGACTGAGGAGGTGGAGGACAGGCAGAACAATGATGAGGTGCCTGAGGCCTCCCCCCTGCAGCTGTGCTCTAAACACCAGAAATGGGTGAGGAGCATTCTGCAGGAGTGCTCTGAGGAACTGCTGTGTGAAAAGACTGATACCCCAGTGCACTGTCAGGGGTCCTCTTCCACCTCATCACAGGACTTGACCCCATCCCTCCTCACCCTTTGTCCACCCCAACATCTAACTCTGGCCACACAGAACCCTTACCCTGCTCAACCAGTGGCTGTATCCCAACCTATGGCCCTCAATGACAGAGCCCATTCTGAACAGGCTGGAGAAACAGCAGATAGCCCAGAGGCCAGTAGAACACATAGGGTCAAGCTGAGACTGTCTATGGAGAGTCAGGCTCTTCTTCTTAAGTCAAAGTTTCTACAGCCATTTGTGCGGCTCCGAAAACTGACCCAGCAGGAGTGTAGCATGGCTGCAGAGCTAAGAGGGACCAGGACCCCTGAAGAGGAAGACGGTGACGACGATGATGGTGAAGAGGAGGATGATGACGAACGTGTGGAAAAAACTCCAGTGTATTCTTATTATGATGTAAACACGCTCTATTCTAGTTTTGAGTCAAGCTCTGATGAAGATCCAGAAACACAGGATTCAGACCTTGACTATGTTCCTTGATATGGAAAGAGAATGTACAACCAGAGTGTGTGATTTGAGGAAGAAGCATGATCCTGGGGTTGACGATGAGGTATGTGATTAGATTGAGGAATCAGGGTGGTGTCCACCATTTGCCGTGGTGAAATGTACAGCTGAGGTTAAACAAACTGCTACATAATTATTCAGCATCAGAATTCCGGTTAAATTTCAGTTGAACAGTATTCAATATGCCCAGTTCAACCAGGTGTAACATTGGAATAATAACCCTTTACATACCATAATACACAGCACCAGTTTCTTACTGACCTAGGTTCTAGGGCTGTGACGATACCAGTATCTCAATATTTTTTTCCATGGCAAAAATGAAAACATGAGGCAGACCAAACTCTGTAAAATATTATGTGCTATAGCTTGGAAAATAAATAAATATGACTGGATGACATAATTATTTTTATTTCAAACATTAGGGCTATTTTCCTAAAGAAGTTAAATTCGCTTCGTGTTTCTTTCCTAGCCATGATACTATCGAGTATCGCGATACTGGTATCGTCCCCGCCCTGCTAGATTCTTACACTAAATGAATGTGAACCTCTGTATGACATCTGGAACTGGTCATATTTCATGCTGTGTCATGTTGACTCATAGGAGGGGTCTGTTTGATGGCATTACATGTGTTAAATATTACCCAGATATTCTGAGTGGACTGGTACTGTCAATGACATGCAACCAAAATCCGCTGACCAGTCATTGTGCACCTCTTTTTCGTCTACAAATCAATGATGATATCATTGGAAATTGCGTACATCACTGTACAAATGGAAAAGCTGTTAATCATTCCTGGCTGTGTGTCATAGGCAGCTCATCTTGTGAAGTGAGCGACGTGTTCAGGGTCATCGTGCTGTCAGTGCATGCCCACTATGCATTTGTGCTGACACACTGCCTTTGTTAGTTAGTCCATATATTAGATGACTCAGCAAAATATTCATAGGATGGGATGCATGGGAAGATAGCAGAGGGATTCCATAGAGAGAGAAGATGCCAGAGATCTCCTTTACCCAGAAGAGGGTCATTGGGCCAAAGGCCTACAAATAGGGTCATAAATATTATCACCTCATCATTAAGAGACATGTATATGTGTGAATCATAATGTAGCAGTCTGTGTTTACTTCAATTTTAAAATCATGTGTGGGAAATGGATCGGCGAGCAGCAAGGTGTTGAGGTAAATGACAGTTGTTGTGAAGTGAGTAGGTACTTGACTCACATAAATTTAAGAGTCACTTTTAGGTAGGTGAACGTGAGTTCTGTGACAAATGTTTTCTTTATTTATTCAGAATGTTGTATATGTAGAAGGTGGACAGGAATATGGTAAACAGAGGGACAGGGTGTGACAGGGTCTTTAACTGACTCAACCCCATCAAGCCGGCTGGTGGGTAGGGCACAGGGTCCTTAGCCAGATGATAAGGGGATGGTGGGGTACAAAGTTCCAGGGGATTTTTGTGTGTTGCACCACTGCAAAAGGATTTATTAGGATGTGTATTTATTTATCTAGAGAGAAAGTACATTCCTCTGTACATTTTTCAGGACACACTTTCTATGAAAGTCATAGTCACTGATTTACCCATCATGAGAGTAAACAACCCCAGAGTGAAGCAGAAAACAACAGTTATACTGTAGGCTACCTGTTACATTACTGTGTTCAATAAACATTTTGTGTGAAATTATAACGTGTATAAATTAAAGCTATACTTTCCACACAATAAGCAATTGCACTGTATCATATGCTACTTATCTGTATTTGACTGTATATACCTATTTAGCCTTTATATTACTGTACACACACTGTACATTATGCTGTGGGTATTTGGGACATTTTTATTTATTTTTATTTTGGGGGGGTAGATCAGCTTAATATTGCAGATAGATTGTAACTTCTATCAATGTAATTGTCTGCATCACTTCCAATCCCCCATGTTTTTTATATATATACTCCCCTTTATTACTTTTCAACCCCGCCATCCTTTCCCTACTTGGGGTAAATTAGTGAACAACAATGCCCAGGCCTCTACTTCCAGCCTATACTTACTATCTACACCTTATGGACACAGTCAATTTTACAATAATTCTATTTTATTAGTTTTTTTTGTTTTTGCTCCTGAACTTCTACTCAACCTCTCCGATCATTTTCATGATGTCCATCCGGTTTGCTTCTATATGCCATATCTTTCTAACTGTGCTCTTTCCCAAAAGCTCCCAACATACAACCTATATACTTATTATGGACACAGTATGCTTACATTATTAGTTGTCTTGTTATTATTTGTTGTTATTTGTTATTAGTCCCATCCTTCAACTCCATTCAATACCTCCCATCTATCTCTTAACACCATCCATATAGGATTTCTATTTGCCATATATATACAGTGGGGAAAAAAAGTATTTAGTCAGCCACCAATTGTGCAAGTTCTCCCACTTAAAAAGATGAGAGAGGCCTGTAACATAGGTACACGTCAACTATGACAGACAAAATGAGAATTTTTTTTCCAGAAAATCACATTGTAGGATTTTTAATGAATTTATTTGCAAATTATGGTGGAAAATAAGTATTTGGTCAATAACAAAAGTTTCTCAATACTTTGTTATATACCCTTTGTTGGCAATGACACAGGTCAAACGTTTTCTGTAAGTCTTCACAAGGTCTTCACACACTGTTGCTGGTATTTTGGCCCATTCCTCCATGCAGATCTCCTCTAGAGCAGTGATGTTTTGGGGCTGTCGCTGGGCAACACGGACTTTCAACTCCCTCCAAAGATTTTCTATGGGGTTGAGATCTGGAGACTGGCTAGGCCACTCCAGGACCTTGAAATGCTTCTTACGAAGCCACTCCTTCGTTGCCCGGGCGGTGTGTTTGGGATCATTGTCATGCTGAAAGACCCAGCCACGTTTCATCTTCAATGCCCTTGCTGATGGAAGGAGGTTTTCACTCAAAATCTCACGATACATGGCCACATTCATTCTTTCCTTTACACGGATCAGTCGTCCTGGTCCCTTTGCAGAAAAACAGCCCCAAAGCATGATGTTTCCATCCCCATGCTTCACAGTAGGTATGGTGTTCTTTGGATGCAACTCAGCATTCTTTGTCCTCCAAACACGACGAGTTGAGTTTTTTACCAAAAAGTTATATTTTGGTTTCATCTGACCATATGACATTCTCCCAATCCTCTTCTGGATCATCCAAATGCACTCTAGCAAACTTCAGACGGGCCTGGACATGTACTGGCTTAAGCAGGGGGACACGTCTGGCACTGCAGGATTTGAGTCCCTGGCAGCGTAGTGTGTTACTGATGGTAGGCTTTGTTACTTTGGTCCCAGCTCTCTGCAGGTCATTCACTAGGTCCCCCCGTGTGGTTCTGGGATTTTTGCTCACGGTTCTTGTGATCATTTTGACCCCACGGGGTGAGATCTTGCGTGGAGCCCCAGATCGAGGGAGATTATCAGTGGTCTTGTATGTCTTCCATTTCCTAATAATTGCTCCCACAGTTGATTTCTTCAAACCAAGCTGCTTACCTATTGCAGATTCAGTCTTCCCAGCCTGGTGCAGGTCTACAATTTTGTTTCTGGTATCCTTTGACAGCTCTTTGGTCTTGGCCATAGTGGAGTTTGGAGTGTGACTGTTTGAGGTTGTGGACAGGTGTCTTTTATACTGATAACAAGTTCAAACAGGTGCCATTAATACAGGTAACGAGTGGAGGACAGAGGAGCCTCTTAAAGAAGAAGTTACAGGTCTGTGAGAGCCAGAAAAAATACTTATTTTCCACCATAATTTGCAAATAAATTCATAAAAAATCCTACAATGTGGTTTTCTGGAGAAAAAAAATTCTCAATTTGTCTGTCATAGTTGACGTGTACCTATGATAAAAATTACAGGCCTCTCTCATCTTTTTAAGTGGGAGAACTTGCACAATTGGTGGCTGACTAAATACTTTTTTCCCCCCACTGTATTTGGACAATTTGCACATTTGGATCGAAATTACTATTAATTAATATCATCACCCCTTTTGAATTTCATTGCCCATGGGAGAAGTATATTCCCCCCCCCCCCCCCCCCCCCCCCCCCATTCCTTTTTCCCACGCAACTTCATCTCGAATTGTTGAATGAGTTTCCTGTATACAATAGATATTATATTCCTTCTCTTTGAGCCATGTAAATATTGTTCTTCTTTTGTTATTATCAGCTAAGCCATTACAATTATAACTGGCTATACTTATTTCAACATACACCATAATGAGATACAAGTTTCAAGTCAATTTATCATTATATATGTTTGTACATTTACCAATAAAAAATACCGTAATGATTGAGTGTCCATATAGCTGTACCGTGATATTTGCATTGCTACGGAGTAACCCTTCAATTGTTCTCCACTAATTCCCCCGCTAAAGCCCCCCCCCATCCCAAGTTGAGCCGTCATCCCAGTGATCAGCATCCCACCCACGTCCCTCCGGGTCCCTAAGGCCCCGAGAGGCCAGGATCCATCCATCGAAAACAGCACACAGTGCCACCCACAAAACAGAAGCAGATTAACCGCCAAAAGCATTTCCAATGCTGTCACCTCTATCTATCTATATATATATATATATATAACTATTTAAAAAAAAATATGCATATCCTATTTTCCATCATTATCAATTAATATGCGTAATAATGTCGGCAGTTCATGCGTAGGATTTTAACATATAACCTTGATTGCCATTGTATTACATTTAATTTATTGACAAGCAATTATTATCCTAGCAAATAATTCCCGTGGTCCATCCCATACCCCCCCCCCCCCCCCCCCTCCCCAACATCCCCACCCCCCCACAACAGATGCCGGACAAACACACACGCACATACTCACATACTCCAACACACTCAACCCCCCTCCTCCACAATCCACCATAAAATCAGATACTCAACGGCTGTTATATCCCAGAGCCCAACTCAAGAAATAACCTGATTTACGAGTGCACATACAGTTAAAGCTGATTGAGAAAGCATGCAGATTGAGCAGAAATGGACAACAATGTGAGATTTGATTAATCTACTTAATCTATGTCAAGTCCTAGGTGATGGAGATCAGATCCACCCTCTTCACCTGAGACACACAAACACTTTGATCCCCTGTTGTAACCATTTTCCCAAGCATCTCCGTGCGGTCAGACCTTTGATTATTTTGTGCCACCTGGGCCACAATGATAAACCCCCTCTCTGATTGTCCGAGTGTGACCCCCTCCCCATGGGTTACTGCAGCCAGTGTTGCCAGCACTGCCACTACCTGGGTGGGCGTACCCCACCGGAATCCCCACCGGCTAGGTAAAAGGTCGTCAAGGTTCTCATTAGCAGCTTCGAGAATTTCCTTGTATATTATGCTCTCCCATCAGGGGGCTCTGGCTTTGTAGGACCAACCCTGCCAGGCAGGCTCAGAATCTTGAGGGGGCGGTGCTGCTCAAGTAGGTCTCTGACCGCATTTATTAATCTGTTTAGGCTGCATACTCACAGCAGGTCCATAAAAGAGATGGGAACTTCTCTTTGGTGTATGGGTCGCTCAGGTGGGTGTCCAGGTTATAGGGTTAGGGATCTTTCCATCATGATAGGACAATAAAAAATGTGATTAGATGTATACTATATTTAAAAATGTATATCCCTCATCTACACAAAATTGAAAGCTCTCTCTCACTACCCCTGCTCATAGACCCCCGTCAGCCCTGGGATATGCAACCATTTCCCCTCTCACTCACTTAACGCCGCACCTTTTCAAACACAAAAATGCACACCACATGGTTGACTGCGGAAGAAATGGGCTGAGCGTGCAAACGCACCCACATCCACATCTGCCGCAAGGGGGAAAGGACGCCAGAGAGAACACAGGACCAACCACAACAACCATCCGCCAAAACAACAACCTCCCGCCAAAAAAGCCATGTTCTAATTATTTGTATTTAAAGATGTATTATTCTGCTTGTTATCTTTTCTTGTTATATCGTTTTATCCTTATATAAATTACTATACTTACTATAAATGTTATTTAATATTACAATCCCTATCATTGCTAGTATTGGGTGTTCCATTATTCAACTCCTCTATTACAACTTTTAGAATAGCCATGGAGTAATCTTTGTGTCTCTGAACATTTGGTTGTCAATATATAGTTTATCCACCACGAGTGCAACACGTTTCCCTTTTAATCTGTTTTCCTTGAAGATTGGATACAGAACTTTGCGCCTTTCTGCAATCTCCCACGGGAACTGATCATTCATGCCTATTTTCGTGCCAGCAAGTCTTTTCCCTAGGCTTTTAACCATTGCTTTATCTTTTAAAAAAGCAAATTTGGCAACGATTGGGCGCTCATATTTCTGTCCTCTTTTTCCGAAACGGTGTACACGTTCGAGTTGGATTTTATCGACAGCCTCGAGTGGGATTTGTAGCACTGTATGCAGGAAGTCCTTCATAATATTCTCCGTTACTTCTCCCTCCTTTTCCTGAATACCCATAAGTACTAGATTTTCTCTCATCGATCTAGTTTGGATGTCTAGTAAGGCTTCTCTCAGAAGGTTGTTTTCCTTTTTTAGTTCCCTAACGTCCGTTTCCATCTTAGAGACTGTCACTTTTAATTTTTTGGTTTCATTCTCCATTACCAAAGCTTTTTCGTCACTCATTTGAAGACTCGCTTTCAACTCTTTTACGTCTTTACTGACCAATTCTAGTATGCCCAATTTGTCATTTATCGACTTCAACAGGTCGCTTTCCACACTTCCCATACCCAGTGGTGAAAAGCATATATCATCTGTATCAGTCGATGAGTCGCGTTTCCTTTTGGGGATCGACTCTCCACGCTTATCTTCAGTCATGTTTGGGTGTTGCGTGTTGTTGTAATATTTGTTGATATATTTCTCTAGCCTTATGATCTGTTTTGTGTTATTATCCAGATTGAATTATATTAACTGCGAATATATGAAATGCTAATATTTAGTCTAACTTACTGATTTTGAATATTATGTTTTTATCTTGAGGTGTTTTGTACCGTTTCCTATTCAATACGCCATCTTGCCAGAAATCCCTATCATAGTTCCTCTCAGAAACTGGATTGCAAAATCCCACAATGCAAGGAGCACTGAAACACCACTGGAGCGCTAAACACCACTGGAGCGCTAAACACCACTGCACTGTCAAACCAAGTTCTGGAAGGACTATTATTATGCAGAGTGTAGTTGTTCCATAGATTGGAGTCTACTTACACTACATGACCAAAAGTATGTGGACACCTGCTCGTCGACTATCTCATTCCAAAATCATGGCCATTAATATGGAGTTGGTCCCCCCTTTGCTGCTATAACAGCCTCCACTCTTCTGGGAAGGCTTTCCACTAGATGTTGGAACATTGCTGCGGGAACTTGCTTCCATTCAGCCATGAGAGCATTAGTGAAGTTGGGCACTGATGTTGGGGGCGATTAGGCCTGGCTCGCAGTCGGCGTTCCAATTCAACCCAAAGGTGTTCGATGGGGTTGAGGTCAGGGCTCTGTGCAGGCCAGTCAAGTTCTTCCACACCGATCTCAACAAACCATTTCTGTATGGACCTCGCTTTGTGCACGAGGACATTGTCATGCTGGAACAGGAAAGGGCCTTCGCCAAACTGTTGCTGCAAAGTTGAAAGCACAGAATCATCTAAAATGCCATTGTATGCTGGAGTGTTAAGATTTCCCTTCACTGGAACTAAGGGGCCTAGCCCAAACCATGAAAAACAGCCCCAGACCATTATTCCTCCTCCACCAAACTTTACAGTTGGCACTATGCATTGGGGCAGGTAGTGTTCTCCTGGCATCTGCCAAACCCAGATTCGTCCGTCGGACTGCCAGTGAACGCGTTTCCACTGCCCCAGAGTCCAATGGTGGCGAGCTTTACACCACTCCAGCCGACGCTTGGCATTGCGCATGTTGATCTTAGGCTTGTGTGCGGATGCTTGGCCATGGAAACACATTTCATGAAGCTCCCAACGAACAGTTATTGTGCTGACGTTGCTTCCAAAGGCAGTTTGGAACTCGTAGTGAGTGTTGCAAACGAGGACAGACAATTTTTATGCACTTCAGCCCTTGAGATCCCGTTCTGTGAGCTTGTGTGGTCTACCACTTCGCGGCTGGGCCGTTGTTGCGCCTAGACGTTTCCACTTCACAATAACAGCACTTAAAGTTAACCGGGGCAGCGCTAGCAGGGCAGAAATTTGACGAACTGACTTGTTGGAATGGTGGCATCCTATGACTGTGCTACATTGAAAGTCACTGAGCTTTTCAGTAAGACCATTCTACTGCCAATGTTTGTCTATGGAGATTGCATGGCTGTGTGCTCGATTTTATAAACCTGTCAGCAATGGGTGTGGCTGAAATAGCCGAATCCACTAACTTGAAGGGCTGTCCACATATTTTGTATATATAGTGTACCTCCACTTTTTACTTATTTTTTAGTAACTTTTTTTACAATGGAAAAAGCATGTTCATCCTAAACAGCACTCAAGCTGACTGAGCCTCAAAGAGTTTCAAAAGGTTTATTGGAGACCCTATGGGCCTATGATAAAGGCTGAAATAAATTACTTTGATAAATATAAACGGATTGATGCTTCATTAGAAGAAAAAATTGTTTTTCCCCATTCGTGAAAGATAGGAAAATCAGAGGCCATCGATCCATGACTTGGTCAATGACGTTGTATAGGCTATAGGCTTCACAGGAGGTTGGTGGCACCTTAATTGGGGAGGACGAGCTCATGGCAATGGCTGGAGCAGAATCCTTGGAAGGGTATCAAAAACATCAAACACATGGTTTCCATGTTATGGTCAGACATGTTCACACATTTTTCACTGTACTTTTTCTGCTTAGTAATTGTTTTGCGGGGCATTGGATGTGAGCGTCGCTCTCCTGTGCACATTATGCACGAGGACAGCGAGGGTCCCATTGGTCTCCTCTCATGAGTCTCCTATCTGTTGGAAAAAGTTAATGCCGTTTAACCCAAACCTTGAAGTGTTTTACATTTTTGGGAATGATGTAACGGGGGTGTATGGCACAACCCTCAGTCTCCACCAATGAAAATACGGGCAGGGTTCAACAGCTACGATTTTCGGGGGGCTTGCTATAAAGCCGGCTTTTAACGGATTTATCAGTCTATATTCATATTCAGTATTTTACCTGAATTCCTTCATTTGGAGTGTGAAATTCTTTTGAGATTGTAAAGGTATTTAAAAGGACTATTGTTATTTAAATTTATGATTACGCATTTAATTACCTCTAGCAAGTAGCCTAAGTGTCCAATTTATGTAGAGGCAATTTAAAATAGGCTACGGCTGGTAAAATGTATTAACGTATATTTTATTAAGGTATAGATCACGTGTTGATTATTACGCATGCACAAACAAATATTACCTTGCTCCAAAGAGATGCCTATTATATCCGATCGCTGAGATTTTTTTTAGATAGCATGACTTGTTTAGATTACATTTTATTAGGTTACATTTGAGTTGATTAGGATTGATTTTATTTATTGTTCTTGCATTATATACATACTTTTCATTGCTAATGGGCTATATAATGCATTTATACGGCGCTGTGATAAGATAGCCATTAATAAGATCAGATCTATAACTTGACGTGTCCCAGTCTGATGGTAGATCGCTCTTCATTACCAGATGTTCAACTAACTGTGCACATAGCTTAATTAGTTCAACAGCGCTTTTGATCTCAAACCGGATTTTATAGACATCGCACCTGTTGAGTTTTCATGGGTAATTTAACATCTGGGCTAGCCTACTTCTCTGCACTGATGTTTTTTATTTTTATCTAACAAGTTTATTTGCAGTTTTCCAATTGATTATTAGGCTACTCATTTGTATATTAACGAATAATCTTAATATATATTATTTGTATGATATTTTTCAACAATTTATAATGCAGGAATTATTCATGAAAATCAATTTGTTTGTCCTATCTTTTATCCCCTAGCCTTTTTTCTTCCTATCTCTCACATATTCAGCTGCAGTTGCAACATGGAGAACCAGTCCTATGTGGTCAAAATGAATGGGAATGGTATCCATGAGAAGAATGCTCTCAATGGTATCAATGGAAAAAGTCTTAATGGGAATGGTATCCATCATAAGGGTGTGAAAGGCATTGTTTATCCAGCCAAGCAGAAGAGCTGCAGGCAGCAATGGAACATCCGGCCCTCAGAGATGTCAGTCAACACCTTGAATCCCATCCGTGCCATTGTGGATGGGATGAAGCTCACACCCAACCCCGAGAAGCCCATGATTGCTCTGTCCATTGGTGAGATGCTACATCACTATCTCATTTGCATATGCTCAGTGTGTTCATCTGTGAAGTGCAGTTGTTCAGAATTATGTTTCTTATGTACTCCTTTGTCCTCCTGTCATTCCATCAGGGGACCCTACTGTGTTCGGGAACCTGCCTACTGATGACAAAGTTCTCCAGGCCATGAAGGACGCCATTGACTCACACAAATACAACGGCTATGCTCCGTCTGTTGGTAAGACTCACGCAATCACTTTCTTACAGCACCAACATTTCAAAAAGCTTGTGAAGTGCAAAAAAACTAGGGATGAAGTGATTTTTTTTGTATTTTATTTAAATGGGAATTGGGAGGATATGAGATGAGGCACAGCTATAGGGGAGTTGGGTGGCTTGCAAGGGGAAGAGAGGTTAGAGGTTAAAGTCATTTCAGTCAGGGAAGTTGAGAGATCTATGTAAAATAAGGCCAATTAACCCCTCTATGATTAATGATGATTGTAGCTCTAAGGACGTATGCAGGCAAAATCTCCCTTTCTACCAGCAGACTACTGAGTACAGTATACAGTATAAAATATAAGATGTTGTCTTCTACTCATCAACAGGTTATCAGAAGAGCAGAGAGGTGGTGGCAAACTTCTACAGTTGCCCCGAGGCCCCCTTGGAGGCAGAGGTGTGTTTATCTGACTCATCGTTTACCTGCTTTAACTCGTTCAAACTCTATTTTTTTCTTCACCATATATTCACCTGTCTCCCTACTGTAAATGTTTTCCAAAACTAGAGGACATATAGACATCAAAAATACAGTGAGGGAAAAAAGTATTTGATCCCCTGCTGATTTTGTACGTTTGCCCACTGACAAAGAAATGATCAGTCTATAATTTTAATGGTAGGTTTATTTGAACAGTGAGAGACAGAATAACAACAAAAAAATCCAGAAAAACGCATGTCAAAAATGTTATAAATTGATTTGCATTTTAATGAGGAAAATAAGTATTTGACCTCCTCTCAATCAGAAAGATTTCTGGCTCCCAGGTGTCTTTTATACAGGTAACGAGCTGAGATTAGGAGCACACTCTTAAAGGGAGTGCTCCTAATCTCAGTTTGTTACCTGTATAAAAGACACCTGTCCACAGAAGCAATCAATCAATCAGATTCCAAACTCTCCACCATGGCCAAGGATGTCAGGGACAAGGCTGGAATGGGCTACAAGACCATCGCCAAGCAGCTTGGTGAGAAGGTGACAACAGTTGGTGCGATTATTCGCAAATAGAAGAAACACAAAATAACTGTCAATCTCCCTCGGCCTGGGGCTCCATGCAAGATCTCACCTCGTGTAGTTGCAATGATCATGAGAACGGTGAGGAATCAGCCCAGAACTATACGGGAGGATCTTGTCAATGATCTCAAGGCAGCTGGGACCATAGTCACCAAGAAAACAATTGGTAACACACTACGCCGTGAAGGACTGAAATCCTGCAGCGCCCGCAAGGTCCCCCTGCTCAAGAAAGCACATATACAGGCCCGTCTGAAGTTTGCCAATGAACATCTGAATGATTCAGAGGAGAACTGGGTGAAAGTGTTGTGGTCAGATGAGACCAAAATCGAGCTCTTTGGCATCAACTCAACTCGCCGTGTTTGGAGGAGGAGGAATGCTGCCTATGACCCCAAGAACACCATCCCCACCGTCAAACATGGAGGTGGAAACATTATGCTTTGGGGGTGTTTTTCTGCTAAGGGGACAGGACAACTTCACCGCATCAAAGGGACAATGGACGGGGCCATGTACCGTCAAATCTTGGGTGAGAACCTCCTTCCCTCAGCCAGGGCATTGAAAATGGGTCGTGGATGGGTATTCCAGCATGACAATGACCCAAAACACATGGCCAAGGCAACAAAGGAGTGGCTCAAGAAGAAGCACATTAAGGTCCTGGAGTGGCCTAGCCAGTCTCCAGACCTTAATCCCATAGAAAATCTGTGGAGGGAGCTAAAGGTTCGAGTTGCCAAACGTCAGCCTCAAAATCTTAATGAGTTGGAGAAGATCTGCAAAGAGGAGTGGGACAAAATCCCTCCTGAGATGTGTGCAAACCTGGTGGCCAACTACAAGAAACGTCTGACCTCTGTGATTGCCAACAAGGGTTTTGCCACCAAGTACTAAGTCATGTTTAGCAGAGGGGTGAAATACTTATTTCTCTCATTAAAATGCTAATCAATTTATAACATTTTTGACATGGGTTTTTCTGAATTTTTTGTTGTTATTCTGTCTCTCACTGTTCAAATAAACCTACCATTAAAATTATAGACTGATCATTTCTTTGTCAGTGGGCAAACGTACAAAATCAGCAGGGGATCAAATACTTTTTTCCCTCACTGTATATATTGTTATCTTCCTCTCTCTTCCATGCAGGATGTGCTTCTGACCAGTGGCTGCAGCCAGGCTATAGATCTGGCCATCACAGTGCTTTGTAACCCTGGAGACAACATCCTAGTCCCCTGCCCTGGATTCTCTCTCTACAAGACTCTGGCTGTGTCTCTGGGCATCCAGGTCAAACTGTACAACCTGCTGGTGAGTGTTGGACACGGGGGAGGAGCAAAATAGTGGGAAAATAAATCAAAGAGAAAAGCTGGATGATATATCATTTTTGTGAAGAGAGAGGGAGGGAGAGAGAGGGAGGGAGAGGGAGGAAGAGAGCAAGAGAGAGTGAGGGAGGGGGAAAAAAGAGATTGTTGAAAGGGAAAGAGCGGGTGAAATGCTGAGTTCTTCCTCATTGACGCACATCTGGCACTTATAAATCATTTTGGATGGCTTGCTTTCCTCTAGGCTTACACACACACACACACACACACACACACACACACACACACACACACACACACACACACACACACACACACACACACACACACACACACACACACACACACACACACACACACAACATACAAATACAGATAAATACTTGGAGCTACAGATAAATACTTAGAGCTACATAACATTTTTAGTTGAATTACATCCATAAAAAACATGAGGTCACTCAGGGACACAGTGGAATGTCGTGACTCATGAGGTCATGATGTGTACATGACAACTTCACACAATGTTAAGAGCTGCTATTGACTCACCTATACAATCCACTTATACATTCTTAGAACTCTTACAGAGCTTCCTCCTAATGTCAGGACAGCTGAGTTCCTGCCCATTATCTGAAAACATCTGAAAACCTATATCTTCACAAAGTATCTTGACTGAATTCGGATCTTTTTTCCACTAATTGGTCTTTTGACCAATCACATCAGATCTTTTCACATCAGATCTTTTTCAGAGCTGATCTGATTGGTCAAAAGACCAATTAGTGGAAAACATATCAGAATTGGACTGCCTGTATAAACGCAGCCTATGAGATCAAATGTCAGTTAAGACAGTTAGGGCGGTGCAGAAACCTCTCTGTTTTCCAGTGTGTGTGTAGTGCATGTACAGTAGCCTTATGCCTGCTCTCTGACTCATGGTGGCTTTGTCTGTCCTTGCAGCCAGAGAAATCTTGGGAGATCGATTTCCAGCACATGGAAAGCCTGATAGATAAGAGGACAACCTGCCTGATTGTCAACAATCCCTCCAACCCTTGTGGCTCCGTCTACAGTAAAGAGCACCTACAGAACGTCCTTTCTGGTTAGCCCTGTTCCTTCACCCCCCTGGCCACAGTATTCCCTCTCACTATAGCACAATATAAGCATTTGGTTCCTATAATTAATCCAGTTATAATTGTAATATTTTTGAATGTGTCTATTCTCTTGTCTAGTTGCCTCCAAACATTGCATCCCAATCCTGGCTGATGAGATCTATGGTGACATGGTGAGTTCATATACACACAGAAGCACTCTCAGAAACAAACACCCACACAGACAGACACTCATACAGACTAATACAGAAACTGGCATTGAGTCTGTTGCATAATAGGAGACTAAGGAGAGGAATCTATATTGGATTGTCTTCTGGCATTGAGGAGATGTTGAGTTCTTTCTAGGGTCTAACGCAGGCTGGATTGGTCTATGGAGGTGTGCAATACAGTAGTAGACAGGTCATGCGTCCAGGAGGGGGCTGCTGGTTCTGGGGTATAGCCTACATCCTGGCCACTGGGCCCCCATGTAATACATAATGCCAGCGAGGCACATTCTTTAACATTCTGTAGCAGTTACAGGGAGGTTTCTCTGGTATCCGAGGAGACCTGTCTGACAAGTCCACATCAGCACTGGGGTGATTAGGGGTGTTACAGGCTGTATGGGTGGCTGGCAGTGGTGGGGCAGCAGTGCTGGGGTTAGGTCAGCCAGGGCAAGTGAAGGATGAGCCACAGAGGTAAAACTGTAGACAAGAGGCGCTCCTCTCCTCTGTAATTTCTGAGAGCTGTGTTGAGAATTTATTTTGGATAGTTTAAAGGGGAAATTTGGAGTTGCTACATCCATTTATGGACTTATAAATGAATTATATACTGTATACTCATTGATTCTTGAAGAATATAACTTATAAATGCCTCATGAGCTTAGCTCAACTGTCGTAGCCCATCAGAACCCAAAATATAAGCTTGTTTTACTCCAATGTTTGTAAACATTGTAAATGTAATGAAACACTGTATAGCCTCCAAATATGTTTAAAACTATAATTTTGTTATCTTGGATGGTCATTCCTTGGATCAATAGCTCTGTCTATGAATATAAAGGAGCAATATGCAGAAATGTCCTGGTTGCTAAAATTCTAATAATTCGCCTAATTTCAGTTTATGTGACAAAACAAGCAAGTGTAGACAATCATTGTACCATCTAAGCCACTGTGAAATATATTTTTAAATAACCAACATTTTGTATTTTCACCTGTGTACAAAACCGAAAGTAAAAGATGCAAAAAGAAAAACGTAAGAACGGGAAGTATAGAAGTAACGCACATAGAACAGATCTACTGCTTCTTAGACTTACTTTCAATGAGGATGACAGATCTATAACTCACATTTATATGTGAATTTGGTCTGGTCGCCCCAAAATGTTACATATTGCAGCTTTAAGTGTGGTAACATTTTAGGTGGGGTGACAGCTTTGTTATTGTTTCAACTGCTGATTGCCCCTTTAATGTATTAGAATTTGTTTTTATCATTGTTAGGTGTTAAACATCTTATATTTAGCTATTTGGATTATCTAAAGTGTTTTTAAGGTGTGTTTAATTGGAGAACAGATATTTTGCAGTAATTCATGTATTGATGAGATTGACAAGAAAGCAGTGTTTTTTATTATTAGTCCCTGTGAGAATAGAGAGAGGTAGTTGGGGTGATTGGGAGTGCATTATTTTAGAGGAGGTGATTGGGGTCGTTGAGTGCATAAATCACATGGGCTCAGAATTCACCAATGTCTTGCTCAGTACAAAAAACTAAACAAAAATATGTTGTATTGTCACATACAGCGGATATGGGCAGTGAAAAGTGTTGTTTTTACAGGGTCAGCCATAGTAGTACAGAGCCCCTGGAGCAAATTAGGGTTAAGTGTCTTGCTCAAGGGCACATCAACAGATTTTTCACAATGTCGGCTCGAAACAAGGCCCTTTCGGTTACTAGCCCAACGCCCTAACCACTAGAACAGAAGTACTCAGAATGACTGTGCACTTTTTTGCTGCATGTGTTTGCGATTAATGCAGATGTGAGGGTAGTATAGTGCGAGAGCTGGGGGGAAGAAGTGGGTGGGGGTGGGAGGGCCTCTTTTTAAACAACAGGGTGCCTGTTTAGGGGCTGTGTGGAGGGGAGCCTGTTTAGGGGCTGCGTGGAGGGGTGCCTGTTTAGGGGATGTGTGGAGGGGTGCTTGTTTAGGGGCTGTGTGGAGGGGTGCCTGTTTAGGGGCTGTGTGGAGGGGTGCCTGTTTAGGGGCTGTGTGGAGGGGTGCCTGTTTAGGGGCTGCGTGGAGGGGTGCCTGTTTAGGGGCTGTGTGGAGGGGTGCCTGTTTAAGGGCTGTGTGGAGGGGTGCCTGTTTAGGGGCTGCGTGGAGGCATTATGTATCTGGGCACCATTAGCTCCAACTCACGGTTAGAGGGGAATGTTTGTCAAGCACCAGGTTCTTTCCCTATGGGCTCTTCTCTGTGAAAAAAGAAAACACTGCTCACGAGAGCTTAGAGCGGAGCCATAAATGCTCTGTTTGTAAATTAGATCTGAGGTGAGGTTTGAGATGTTTTTTTTTTTTCTGAACTGTCAGTCACTGTGCTCTGACCAATAGCATGCGGGGCGGATCTCCCACCCGACATCAAGGCCTCAGCTCTAATGAAAGCCAGCTTGCTACAGTTACCACACCACCACTCTCTTTTTCTCTCTGCTCTTTCTCTCTCTCTGTCTTTTTGTCCTAGACGAGCAGTGCATAAAAATGTATTTGCATGACATAAAGTTATGAAATCCCTCACAAACTTTGTTATGGTCAAATTAGTTTAACTATTGATATACATTTGTGCATGTTGTTGTCTTTGATAGTGTTGTTTGTATTGATTGATTAAGTTTAACTGCTTTATTTTTCAATGGGTGAAGAAAGACCATATTTGCACTGATGTGTAGTCAGAGTTGGGTACATCTGGAGTTATCGAACTTCTTTAAAAAATTGTCATTGGATTACAGTTACATACTTAAAAACAGCGGAATACATTTGGAATTACTTGATCTAAAATCACGATGTGGGCTGCAAGTGTTTGCCTCAAACACACTGAAATGGCAGATTTATTAACATAATTGAAAGCTGTGCTGATCCACACAGTTCAGAAGTTACCTTTAGGTGGGAATGGAAGCTCTGTTGTATTTATTTGAAATCTCCAAAACTTCAGAATTTGCTCTCCTTGGTTGCTTTCCACAGAAATGTATTTTAACCAAAAAAGTCAGATCTCCACTTTCACTGGGAACTGAAACATCAGGGTCTTTGTGTCAAAAGGACATCTTTGGTTAGTCAACATTCTCCACCCTGTTCACTGCTCAAGCACTTAGATGGCATATAATCATATTTCTCTTGCATCCGTTGCATCTGTCTATTGCCGTCTTTATCGTACCAGACAGTTACCTTAAGGGTGGGTCAGACATTTAAATGAGCATTTCCTTTTTTACTGACCACATACTGCTTGGTGGCTGGGTGTATTTTTCAAGTAATTCACCCAACCCTGAGTGTAATGCTCTGTATTGTGAATACTGTATTGTCAATATATTAAAAAATTTCCCCTTTAGTGTAAACTAACCCTGATTATTTGACATTGTCTTCTACAGTATGTTTTGCATTGATGTGAGTATTTACTGTATCTCAATGATCAGGTGTTTCCGGGTTGCACGTACCAATCTATGGCGTCCATCAGCAGTGATGTGCCCATCCTAGCGTGTGGCGGTCTGGCCAAGCGATGGCTAGTCCCTGGCTGGAGGCTGGGTTGGATCCTCATCCATGACAGGAATCAAATCTTCGGAAAAGAGGTAAGTCCTTCCTCACTACGCCCATACAGTATGTGAAGTCCAGTTGATCGATACACATACACTACACCAATACACATACGGTAGAATGAATCTGTGTCCTCTGAGGTTCTGAATGACTTCTAATGTATATAATCTGTCTCTCTTCTGCTTTCAGATTCGTCAGGGTCTGGTTAAGCTTAGCCAAAGGATTCTGGGTGCCTGCACAATTGTCCAGGGTGCGATAGAGAGCATCCTGAACGACACGCCCCAGGAGTTTTACCACAGAACCATCAGTTTCCTCAAGGTGAGACCCACTCCCTTGAACCTTCCCCAATTACTTTATATGCAGATGGTAGTAGTCTAACATATTGATTTATCTGTCTGTCTGACTGTCCGACTGACTGTCTATTGACTTGCTTCTTTCTCAGTCAAACTCTGAGATCTGTTTCTCTGAACTGTCCACTGTTCCTGGGCTGACCCCCGTAATGCCATCAGGAGCCATGTACCTCATGGTGAGTCTTTTGTGTCCAGAGCTTAGGTGTGGAGTCTGTAGGTGGGGAGATAACAGAACAGACCAGGATCCCCGTAAGGAAAATAACGTATTTTCCAGACATTAACGTTAGGTGCATTTTAGGTGCTGAATGACAGGTAAAAGTATGTATTTTCCGGATGTTGAAAATACATGTTTTCCAGACATTGAAAATACGACTTATCCTGATGTTGAAATCAGACGTTAAAATCAGGTGCATTTTAGGTGCTGAATGAAAGGCGAAAAGACTGCTTTTCTGGACGTTGAAAATACGTAATTTACAGACGTTGAAAATACATATTTTTCGTTCATTGATTCTATAGCCAAATTTCAACTGCACATACTGTACATTCTCAATGACGTAAGCATTAGATGACAATAATCTTATTTGTTATATGTTATTATTGCTCCCATTATTGCTCCCATTTTCAAAAGCTTTAAAACTTGAAGCAATGATGTTCAAATTAGTCCAATTTACATAATAAACCAACAGACCACTTCAATAACTACAATAACATTCTCAGTAACGGTTACCGATTTTTTATTTTCTTACTATGATATGTTGTTGTTTATCTATCTTAGTTGAATGCACTGACTGTAAGTCACTCTGGATAAGAGCATCTGCTGAATGACCAAAATGTAAATGTAAAAACAAACACTTGCAAAGCATGCTGGGTATTATTCATGGGCCAAATCTAGGCCGGTCTGGACCGGACCAAATCTGAACCAATTATAGACATCTATGTTTGGTCCAAATATAGGCCGGTCTAGACAGGTTGTCTGTGGACGTTGATATCAAGATGGCCGTCGGTAAATGCTTAGTAGGATAGTTAATGTGTGTCTTGGTATTTGTAGGCGGGAATTGAGATGGAACACTTCCCAGAGTTCCAGAACGATGTGCAGTTCACTGAGCGTCTGGTAACTGAGCAGTCCGTCTTCTGCCTGCCTGCTACGGTAAAACACCACACACACACACCTACCTACCTGTTTATTTATCGACGGGTTGGCTGACAACGTATCGAAAATGATGCGTGCGCATTGATGTGAGTGGAAGCCGTGCTTTGTTATGATTCTGAACGGTCAGATAGCTAGCAACACCCGTACAAAAAAAGATTGCAGTTTTGAAACTGCAGTAAAAGTGCAGTAACTGCAGTCGACTGTGATATTTTAAACGCAGTAATTCCAGAATAACTGCAGTGTACTGCAGTTATACTGCAGTGTACTGCAGTTATACTGCACTGTAACTGCAGTTACACTGCAAAATTACTGCAGTAAAAAAATTGTGGTATTTTGGACGTAGTATTTGAAACATACTGCAGTTATACTGCACTCTAACTGCAATCTTTTTTTGTAAGGTCAATGACAAGAAGCTGCCATCTGGGGAATCGTAGGTGGCTCGTTTCAGCTAGTTTTATCTTGTTCTTGTTTTAAGGTGTTTTGACTGATTTCATGTCAATGTTAATGTGGCAAAAATTCACTAGCCATCTAACCAATAACTGTAACAATGTATTTGAGAGACAACAAGTGCTCATTGTGCAAATATATTGATGTTTTCAATAAACATTTGGAGACTAATTATAGTTTACATATTGCTATCTATCCATCCATCCATCTAATGGTCTCATCCATCCTCTCTGTCTACCATGTGTAGAGAAATGACCTTGTTTTGTCGTTTACAACTCTCTTCCCCCTGCAGGCATTTGAGTACCCAAATTACTTCCGGATCGTGGTGACCGTACCAGAGGAGATGATGGTGGAGGCATGTGCACGGATTCGGGAGTTCTGCCAGCGGCACTACAGAACCTGCAGCCAAGACCGCAACGAGCTAGACCAATAATGAGAGACACAGCCTGAGAGAGGGGGAGACCAGAGAGTATTGGCACAGAAGGTGACAAAAGTAAATGTGAAAAAAAGAGAAGGGGAAGAGGGTGAGAGGAAAAGAAGAGAAATGAAGGAAGAGGAGGAGTGAGAAGATGGGTCAAAATATCATGTTGCACTGCGGGAACAAAGGTTTTAGCAATGTCATTGGTAGTGGTCCATCTTTGGTACCCCAACTTATTAACAGACGTGATATTTATATTTTGTATGGCCATCTTATGTTAACCTTACTTTGTCTAACTATTTGAATTCTTAATGTTATTCTATATATTGGGTTGACCAGAACACCGTTGGGCGTATAGAACCAGGGACTGGGGGTTTACCCCCCTCCTCCCCTTTGTTCAAACCATGATGGGATTCATGGTTGGGTTGATCCCACCAAGGAAACAGATGGAACTGAAGCACCAGCATGGATCAGATTATCTACAGTGCTTTCCATAGTCAGCATTACATACTCTTTATTTCATGTGTTAGAATTATGATGACACTCAGTACAATCTGATATATTGCATGCTTAACCAAAACTTTTCCTATGTATATTATCTATTTGTTATCTTGATGTAATATTGAATGTTTTTTGTTTGTTTTTCACTTTCATATAAAAAAGCTATTTTAAACCAAATTAAAGCTATGAAATACTTGTTTGTTTGTTGTGACCCATTAGCGCACAATAATATAAAAACAAAATCGAATTTATCCACACATGATGAATTATACAGTACAACATTTGTAGTTGTGGCCTACATCCAATCCAGATGTGGGGATTTGACCCGTGCTGACCTGTCCATCAGTAAAGTTATGTAACAGTTTAAGGGTTGAAAGGTGTGTCCAATCAGTCCAGAATGGAGGAACGCATTTTATTATTCAGTCTTGAGCTGTTGTCATTTTATACTTCTAATTCAAGTATAAAATGTTTTGTAAATGCTTTATGTCAGTATATTCAGTACACTTTTATTGATTTTCAGCCAGAACTTTCTCATACTAAAATGTTATCCCCTAGGGCCTAGACACACCTTGAGTCACCTTCAGTTTCAAATCCCTATGAACGCTCTCTTGGTTTTAAAGAAAGAAAACAAACGTCCTCATAAATAATGAATATTACAATGGAATAATTGTACTCATAATACACACAGATACATTTATCAGTCTAACTAGATACACATGTGGTTCAATGGTATGCTTCTCGAGCTAATTGTAAAAAAAACTAAAAACTGGTGTGATGTCTTACTGTAGCATGAAATCATTCATTGCTGACACTATAGCACATCCTACTGTTGGAGGTGTGTATTGCAGTATGGGACCTTGCTGAGCAGATTCAACAAGGAAACATTATTTGGCCCACATCCAGGACTTGCATGTCTGAATGTATTTGCATTGCATCACCAAACACTTTAAGTTTAAAATCTACACTTTGGTACAATATCACATATATCTCACAGTGCATAGGCCACACCTTTCCTAGCACATATTGTGTGCACATGAGGACCCTGTAGTCTAGGCCTACAGTATTTCCTGTCTGAAGAAGGTGACCTTTACAACATTCTCCTTCCTCCCCTGAGTCTTTACGACAGCCCTCAGTTACTGAGTGTACACATAAATACACAATAGTGGTGAAGTACTTCTTACATAGTTCAATGATTAACTAGAAAGATAAGGAAGGAAGCGAGAGAGAGAGAGAGAGAGAGAGAGAGAGAGAGAGAGAGAGAGAGATAGAAAGAGAAGGGTATGAGGGACAAGAGAGTGAGTGACAAAGTAGTTGGTAAAGAGGAAGGATAAGTCACAAGTCCCTGTCACAAGGCTCTTCCTGTCTTTCTGTGCTGTTTCAACCCACCACATGGAGGCGAGCACCAGTGTTGTTCGGACAATAGAGCTGAATGATGGCACACGCATGCCCCTGCTGGGCTTGGGAACATGGAAGGTACTCTCTCTTTCTCGCTCTCTCTTTCTCTCTCTCCCACTCACACATTGAAGGTTATCTCAAAATCTCAGTATATATAATGTCTCTATGTATTATTGTCTCTAAGTATGAAAGGTGTATGTTTTTACATTGCTGATTGTTGTTATTACACAGTGGGTTAATTGGTCATTATGGTGTCTTTGTGTTGTTTAGTCAAGCAGTTCAGCAGCAGTGTGTCAGAGTGCGGTGGAAGCTGCCATAGCTGCTGGTTACCGTCACATAGACACAGCCTACAGCTACCGCAATGAGGTCAAGATCAGCAAGGCCCTCCTCTCCAAGATGCAGCAAGGCATCATCCGACGACAAGACATGTACGTCGTCAGTAAGGTGGGTGCTGCGGCTGCAACCAAGAGGTGGAGTCTGAGTGTTTATGTGGGCTGGCTGTCACTGTTTCCAGGTGGACATGAGCTTGCCCTTTGGTCTTTTAGTCCAATACAAAGTTCAAATATATATAATCTGATATGAATATTGTCTGTAGAGTAGAGGTCTTCTCGGGTCCAAAAAGTTGGACCCGGAGCTGAACGGACCCGAGGACAATCAGACCAGGACCCGAACGGACCCGATCATAAAAAAAAGGGGGGACTCAGACCCGAACCCATATGGACCTGTTGACAACCAACCTAGACCAGACCCGATTGGACCCTAGTGACAAAATCAGTATGTTTATCAGCCAAGTTGCTCTTCTGGTTAACAAATTGGTCTTTATATGTTGGCTTTCTATAAGTCAATAAATGCACCTTATTAGCATAAAATAAATATGCTATAGGCTGTGCAGAGCCGTGGTCGGGTCCACTTGGGTCTATCAGCTGCAGTTACATAGACCTGAGAACCGATGACAATCAAACAGGACCCGACCCGGACCTGAGGGAAAAGTTTAAATTTTGGACCCAGACCCGCTCGCGTCCTGTGCCGGGTCTCTGGTATTCAGGTTCGGGTGGACCTGTGAAGACCTCTACTGTAGAGTATTTGTTGCTATATCCACTAGTGTTATTGGTCAATGTCTATTATGTAACACTAAAAAAGTTAAGTCATATTGATGAAGTGATTTTTCATAAAACCTCGCAAAAACAAGCTGGACCTCAGTTGACATATGTACTGATTGGAAGCAGAACTGGTTTCTATCTACGTGCTCTTGTTGTCTGTATTAATGGTTGATTTGCTACATCATTGTGTTGTGCTGCTGAATAGACCTGTGACCACTTCTTTGTGACCACTTCTTTGTGTGTAGTTGTGGAGTACACACCATGCGACCCATGACATCCCATTGTGTCTAAACAAGTCCCTGAGTGACCTGCAGCTGGACTATCTGGACCTGTACCTGGTGCACTTCCCTATTGGACTGAAGGTGGGATTACAGTACACACTGGCAAAAATAGTCACATGGATGATATAGGGACTAATGGACTCTTCTGATACAGTTCTTGACATTTTAATAACACACCTCTGTTTACTTTCACATACAGTGCTTTCGGAAAGTATTCAGACCCCTTGACTTTTTCCAAATTTTGTTACGTTACAGCCTTATTCTAAAATTGATCAAATTATTTTTTCTTCATCAATCTACACACAATACCCCATAATGACAAAGCGAAAACCGGCTTTATATTTTTTTGTTAATTTATTTAAAATAAAAAACAGAAATATCTTATTTACATAAGTATTCAGACCCTTTCCTATGAGACTCGAAATTGAGCTCAGGTGCATCCTGTTTCCATTGGTCATCCTTGAGATGTTTCTACAACTTGATTGGAGTCCACCTATGGTAAATTCAATTGATTTGACATGATTTGGAAAGGCACACACCTGTCTATATAAGGTCCACAGTTGACAGTGCATGTCAGAGCAAAAACCAAGCCATGAGGTCGAAGAAATTGTCTGTAGAGCTCAGAGACAGGATTGTGTCGAGGCACAGATCTGGGGAAGGGTACCAAAACATTTCTGCAGCATTGAAGGTCCCCAAGAACTGTCACGATCGTCGTATGGAGTAGACCAATGCGCAGCGTTAGTTGCGAACATACTTTACTTTATTTAATGAATGCACGAACAAAAACAATAAACGATACGTGACGTCCTATGTTGAACACAACAAACACAGAACACACCGAAAGGAACAACCAACAGGAACAAGATCCCACAAATACAAAGGGAAAACAGACAGTTTAAATATGGCTCCCAATCAGAGACAACCAGCCACAGCTGACACTCGTTGCCTCTGATTGGGAGCCACTCTGGCCAACATAGAAACACAACAACCAGAACTCCCGACATAGAAATACAACACAAGAATGAACACACCCTGGCTCAACATATAGAGTCCCAGAGCCAGGGTGTGACAGTACCCCCCCCCCTAAAGGCGCGGACTGCGACCGCGCCTCAACTAGAACCAAACAGGGGAGGGCTGGGTGGGCATTCCTCCTCGACGGCGGTTCTGGCTCCGGGCTTGCCCACCACCCTCCAATAATCCCCCCATAGCGCCCCTGGTCCGGTCTGGCCCCGCTGGCTGGAGCTGAACTGGACATCGTAGGAGCGGGTAGCTTCAGCTCCGTTGTGGAGCAGCTGACCGGTACCTGATCAGGCACCGGTGACCCAGGCACGGGTTGTGCCGGACTGACGAGCCACCCCTGGCTTGGTGCGTGAGAGCAGGAACGGACCGGACCGGGCTGACGATGCACACCCCTGGCTTGGTGCGTGGAGGAGGAACGGGCCTTACCAGGCTGACGACTCGCACCCCTGGCTTGGTGCGTGGAGGAGGAACGGGCCTTACCAGGCTGACGTCTCGCACCCCTGGCTTGGTGCGAGTAGCAGGAACAGGCCGGGCCGGGCTGGCGACGCGCACCGTAGGCTTGGTGCGAGTGGCAGGAACAGGCCGGGCCGGGCTGGCGACGCGCACCGTAGGCTTGGTGCGAGTGGCAGGAACAGGCCGGGCCGGGCTGGCGATGCGCACCGTACACTTGGTGCGAGGGGCAGGAACAGGCCGGGCCGGGCTGGCGACGCGCACCGTACACTTGGTGCGAGGGGCAGGAACAGGCCGGGCCGGGCTGGCGACGCGCACCGTACGCTTGGTGCGAGGGGCAGGAACAGGCCGGGCCGGGCTGGCGACGCGCACCGTACACTTGGTGCGAGGGGCAGGAACAGGCCGGGCCGGGCTGGCGATGCGCACCGTAGGTTTGGTGCGAGGAGCAGGAACAGGCCGGACCGGGCTGGCGACGCGCACCGTACACTTGGTGCGAGGGGCAGGAACAGGCCGGGCCGGGCTGGCGACGCGCACCGTACACTTGGTGCGAGGGGCAGGAACAGGCCGGGCCGGGCTGGCGTCTCGCACCCCTGGCTTGGTGCGAGTGGCAGGAACAGGCCGGGCCGGGCTGGGGACACACACCACTGGCTCTACACCGGGATCTGGAACGGGCCGGACCGGACTGGTAACACACCCCAGTACCTCTCGCCGTGCCTCTACACCTTCCTTCCCTTCCTTGACCAGTGACCCCCGTAACCTGGTGGCCTTCTGAATTCGCCCCTTGTCTGCCTCCGTCAGCCCCGTCATCCATGCCCTGTGCCCCCCCCTAATTTTTTTTTGGGGTTGCCTCTCGTCTGTCCGACGACGACACTGATTACGCCGTTGCTCCTCTCTCCGTCGCGCCTCTACCGTCTCACTCCATGGCCGGCGATCCATCCCGGCCAGGATTTCCTCCCAGGTCCAGGACCCCTGCCCGTCCAAGATCTGCTCCCACATCCAGGCTGCCTGCTCCTGGACACGCTGCTTGGTCCTGGTATGGTGGGATCTTCTGTCACGATCGTCGTATGGAGTAGACCAATGCGCAGCGTTAGTTGCGAACATACTTTACTTTATTTAATGAATGCACGAACAAAAACAATAAACGATACGTGACGTCCTATGTTGAACACAACAAACACGGAACACACCGAAAGGAACAACCAACAGGAACAAGATCCCACAAATACAAAGGGAAAACAGACAGTTTAAATATGGCTCCCAATCAGAGACAACCAGCCACAGCTGACACTCGTTGCCTCTGATTGGGAGCCACTCTGGCCAACATAGAAACACAACAACCAGAACTCCCGACATAGAAATACAACACAAGAATGAACACACCCTGGCTCAACATATAGAGTCCCAGAGCCAGGGTGTGACAAGAACACAGTGGCCTCCATCCTAGAGCTGGCCGCCCGCCCAAACTGAGCAATCGGTGGAGAAGGGCCTTGGTCAGGGAGGTGACCAAGAACCTGGTGGTCACTCTGACAGAGCTCCAGAGTTCCTCTGTGGAGATGGGAGAACCTTCCAGAAGGACAACCATCTCTGCAGCACTCCACCAATCAGGCCTTTATTGTAGAGTGGCCAGACGGAAGCCACTCCTCAGTAAAAGGCGCATGACTGCCTGCTTGGAGTTTGCCAAAAGGCACCTAAAGGACTCTAAGACCATGATAAACAAGATTCTCTGGTCTGATGAAACCAAGATTGAACTTTGGACTGAATGCCAAGCGTCACATCTCCAGGAAACCTGGCACCATCCCTACGGTGAAGCATGGTGGTGGCAGCATCATGCTGTGGGGATGTTTTTCAGCAGCAGGGACTGGGAGACTAGTCAGGATCAAGGGAAAGATGAACGAAGCAAAGTACAGAGAGAACCTTAATGAAAACCTGCTCCAGAGCGCTCAGGACCTCAGACTGGGGCATAGGTTATCCTTCTAACAGGACAACGACCCTAAGCACACAGTCAAGACAATGCAGGAGTGGCTTCGGGACAAGTCTCTGAATGTCCTTGAGTGGCCCAGCCAGAGCCCGGACTTGAACCCGATCGAACATCTCTGGAGAGACCTTTCCATCCAACCTGACAGAGCTTGAGAGGATCTGCAGGGAAGAATAGGAGAAACTCCCCAAATACAGGTATGCCAAGCTTGTAGCATCATACCCAAGAAGACTCAAGGCTGTAATCGCTGCTAAAGGTGCTTCAACAAAGTAAGTAAAAGGTCTGATTACTTATGTAAATGCCATATTTCAGTTTTTTTTGTTTGTACATTTGCAAAAATTTCTAAAAACCTGTTTTTGCTTTGTCATTATGGGGTAGTAGTGTGGTCGTGTATTCTGTTGTGTCCTCGTGTAAATAGCCAGTGTTTTGTGTGTCTTTTTTCGTATATATTTCTCTATCTCACTTTCCAACCTTTAACTAAATATACTTTCCTGCAACCTGCCTCACCCAATGTGGAACGGATTCTATTATTAATTTATTTTTATCAAGAACCTATGGCTGAAACTAGCCAACTAGCCAGCTAACTAGCTACTTGCTATTAGCCACCGTTAGCAGTCTTCACCACTGTCCGTGGGCTGCACTACCTACCAGCCAGCTCTAGCCTGGACAATTATCGGCCAGTCTGCACAGCGTGCTATCGACCCTGTCACAAGTGTCAGTGTAATGGGGTGGATCGAAGTCAGGCGCAGGACACAGAACTCTATGAAACGTACTTTACTGGATAAGTAAATAAATCAATACAAGATACCTCCACACAGGGAGGAACAAACCCGCTCACCAACGACACACGAAATGAAAAACAAACACGCACAAAACACATTGGGAGCCACCGGGTTAAATAGGGAAGGAGTAATCACATAATGGGAAACAGGTGTGTAACAATCAGACAACAGGTAGAACATAGAAACATAGAACATAGATCGGCAGCAGCTAGTATTCCGGTGACGACGAACGCCGAAGCCTGCCCGAGCAAGGAGGAGGGGCAGCCTCGGCAGAATCCGTGACAGACCCAGAACATATGGGATTTTCTGCCGGAATCACTGAATCACTGGACCTTAGCACCAGACCATCGCAACTAGCTAGCTGCAACCGAATGGCTGTTGTTGGCTAATCACCACTGTCCCGACGTACCAGTTAGCCTTGAGCTAGCCTCGAGCCCATCTCCCGGCTATCTACCTCTCTGTCAACCGGACCGGACCTCCTAGTGTCGACCTCCTAGCGCCGATCCATCACGACTGGTCTGCCGACGTAATCGTCTGATGTGGTTTCAACAGGCTTCCCATTGTGATGACCACGAAGATCCATCTGCTGCCTCCTGCTCGCCTGTGCTGTAGCAGCCTACGAACTGCTCCCGGACTTACTTATTGCTGTTCACTGGACCTTATGATCACTCAGCTACACAGCTAATGCCTGCTGGACTGTTCCTTTACACGGTACCCCATCCTGTTGATCTGTTTAGCCTCAGCCCAAACTTTCATCGCCATTACCAGTTGTTGTCTTAGCCCTCTCGAATAACACCTGTGATTGCGTTATGCCTCTCTCGCATATCAATATGCCTAGCCTATTACTGTTTGGGTTTGTTCTTATTATACAATTTCACTGTAGAACCCCCAGTCCCGCTCAACCAGCCTCAGAGAGATCCTTTGTCCCATCCCCCATACACGCGGAGACCGGCTCAATCAGTACCTCCAGTGATGCTATCTCTTTCATAGTTACCCAATGCTTAGGTGTACCTCCACTGTACTCATATCCTTCCATATCCTTGTCTGTACATAATGCCCTGAATCTATTCTACAACGCCCGGAAATCTGCCCCTTTTATTCTCTGTACCCAATGCACTAGAAGACCAGTTCTTAAAGCCTTTAGCCGTATCCTTATTCTATTCCTCCTCTGTTCCTCTGGTGATGTAGAGGTTACCCCAGGCGCTATCATTTGTTGACTTCTGTAACCCTAAAAGCCTTGGTTTCTTGCATGTTAACATCAGAAGCCTCCTCCTCAAGTTTGAGTTATTCACTGCGTTAGCACACTCTGCCAACCCTGATGTTCTAGCAGTGTCTGAATCTTGGCTTAGGAAGGCCACCAAAAATTCAGAAATGTCCATCCCGAACTACAACATTTTCCGTCTAGATAGAACTGCCAAAGGGGGCGGAGTTGCAATCTACTGTAGAGAGTTGAGCTTCTACTTCTAAAAATCCACCTTTCCAGAAATAAGTCTCTCACTGTTGCCGCTTGCTACAGACCCCCCTCAGCCCCCAGTTGTGCCCTGGACACCATATGTGAATTGCTTGCCCCCCATCTATCCTCAGAGTTCGTACTGCTTGGTGACCTAAACTTGGATATGCTTAACACCCCGGCCGTCCTACAATCTAAACTAGATGCCCTCAATCTCACACAAATTATCAAGGAACCTACCAGGTCCAACCCTAAATCCGTAAACATGGGCACCCTCATAGATATCATCATGACTAATTTACCCTCTAAATATACCTCCCCTGTCTTCAACTAGGATCTCAGCGATCACTGCTTCATTGCCTGTGTCTGTAATGGGTCCGCGGTCAAACGACCACCCCTCATCACTGTCAAACGCTCCCTAAAACACTTCAGTGAGCAGTCCTTTCTAATTGACCTGGCCTGGGTATCCTGGATGGATATTGACCTCATTCCGTCAGTAGAGGATGCCTGGATGTTCCTCAAAAGTGCTTTCCTCTCCATCTTAAATAAGCATGCCCCATTCAAAAAATTCAGAACTAAGAACATATATAGCCCCTGGTTCACCCCAGACTTGACTGCCCTTGACCAGCACAAAAACATCCTGTGGCGTACTGCATTAGCATCGAACAGCCCCCGCGATATGCAACTTTTCAGGGAAGTCAGGAACCAATATACACAATCAGTTAGGAAAGCAAAGGCTAGCTTTTTCAAACAGAAATGTGCATCCTGTAGCAACTTGCCCATGCCCCCCCCCCCCCCCCCCCCCCCCGCTTCTCCTTCACCCAAATTCAGATAGCTGATGTTCTGAAAGAGCTGCTAAATCTGGACCGCTACAAATCAGCTGGGCTAGACAATCTGGACTCTTTCTTTCTAAAATTAGCCGCCGAAATTGTCGCAACCCCTATTACTAGCCTGTTCAACCTCTCTTTCGTATCGTCTGAGATCCCCAGAGATTGGAAAGCTGCCGCGGTCATCCCCTTTCTTCAAAGGGGGTGACACTCTAGATCCAAACTGTTACAGACCTATATCCATCCTGCCCTGCCTTTCGAAAGTATTTAAAGCCAAGTTAACGAACAGATCACCGACCATTTCAAATCCCACCGTACCTTCTCCGCTATGCAATTTGGTTTCCGAGCTGGTCATGGGTGCACCTCAGCCACAGTACTGTGCAGCCATCTTCATCGACCTGGCCAAGGCTTTTGACTCTGTCAATCACCGCATTCTTATTGGCAGACTAAATAGCCTTGGTTTCTCAAATGACTGCCTCGCCTGGTTCACCAACTACTTCTCAGATAGAGTTCAATGTGTCAAATCAAGGGCCAGTTGTCTGGACCTCTGGCAGTCTCTATGAGGGTGCCACACGGTTCAATTCTAGGGCCGACTCTATTCTCTGTGTATATCAATGATGTCGCTCTTGCTCTTGCTGCTGGTGACTCTCAGATCCACCTCTACGCAGACAACACCATTTTGTATACTGTGTTAACAAACCTCCAAACGAGCTTCAATGCCATACAACACGCCTTCCGTGGCCTCCAACTGCTCTTAAAACGCTAGTAAAACTAAATGCATGCTCTTCAATCGAACGCTGCTTGCACCCGCCCGCCCGACTAGAATCACTACTCTCGGCGGGTCTGACTTAGAATATGTGGACAACTACAAATACCTAGGTGTCTGGTTAGACCGTAAACTCTCCTTCCAGACTCACATTAAGCATCTCCAATCCAAAGTTAAATCTAGAATCGGCTTCCTATTTCGCAACAAAGCCTCCTTCACTCATGCTGCTAAACATGCCCTCGTAAAACTGACTATCCTACCGATCCTTGACTTCGGCGATGTCATTTACAAAATAGCTTCCAACATTCTACTCAGCAAATTGGATGTAGTCTATCACAGTGCCATCCGTTTTGTCACCAAAGCCCCATATACTACCCACCATTGTGACCTGTACGCTCTCGTTGGCTGGCCCTCACTACATATTCGTCGCCAAACCCACTGGCTCCAGGTCATCTATAAATCACTTCTAGGCAAATCCCTGCCTTATCTTAGATCATTGGTCACCATAGCAACACCCACCCGTAGTATGCGCTCCAGCAGGTATATCTCACTGGTCATCCCCAAAGCCAACATCTCCTTTGGCCGCCATTCCTTCCAGTTCTCTGCTGCAAATGACTGGAACGAACTGCAAAAATCTCTGAAGCTGGAGGCACTTATCTCCCTCACTAACTTTAAGCATTAGTTGTCAGAGCAGCTTACCGATCACTGCACCTGTACACAGCCCATCTGTAATTAGCCCACCCAACTACCTCATCCCCATATTGTTATTTACATTGTTATTTATTTTGCTCATTTGCACCCCAGTATCTCTATTTGCACATCATCTTCTGCACATCTATCACTCCAGTGTTAATACTAAATTGTAATTATTTTGCACTATGGCCTATTTATTGCCTTACCTCCATAACTTACTACATTTGCACACACTGTATATAGATTTTCTATTGTATTTTTGACTGTATGTTTTGTTTATTCCATATGTAACTCTGTGTTGTTGTTGTTTTTATCGCACTGCTTTGCTTTATCTTGGCCAGGTTGCAGTTGTAAATGAGAACTTGTTCTCAACTGGCTTACCTGGTTAAATAAAGGTTAAATAAAAAATAAAAAAAGTTGTCTGTAGATTGATGAGGGAAAAAAACAATTTAATCAATTTTAGAATAAGGCTGTAACATAACAAAATGTGGAAAAAGTCAAGGGGTCTGAATACTTTCCGAATGCACTGTATCTTTTTCATTCCTTCCAGAAAGTGGATGATGAGCTCTTCCCTATGAGAGATGGAGAAATGCTCACCACTGACATTGACTATCTGGACGTGTGGAAGGTTAGAACACTATCATCTCCTCTTCACTTCATCAACATCATTATACTGTCTCCTAACAACAAAGTGATTTGCATTTCTTTGTGATCTATTTTTGGTATCATGAAGTGTGGTGTATTACTGTGTCTGTGCTGTAATGTCTGCTGTGTGATGTAGGGGATGGAGGCCTTGCAGGCCTCAGGGAAGGTGAAGAGTATTGGCGTGTCCAACTTCAACGTCCTCCAGCTGGAGAGACTGCTCTCTGTGGCCAAGGTTCCCCCTGCAGTCAACCAGGTGCTTCAAGGCTTTACACTGCAACTTTAGCTCTTTTAAATACACCATTATGAAACACTGAGTACCTCACAAACCACAGGAGGCTACTGAGGGGAGGACAGCTCATAATAATGGCTGGAATGGAGTTAATGGAATGGTATCAAACACATGGAAACCATTCCATGTATTCAGTTCCAGCCATTACTATGAGCCAGTCCTCCCCAATTAAGGTGCCACCAACCTCCTGTGTCACAAACTTATTTCACTCCTTTAACCAGCTCAACCAGTGCAATACACAGTTAACTGTGTTTATGCATGGACACTACATGTGCAAATGGGTGTGTTTACCATGCTGAAAGAGTGTGTGGGTGTCGCTACTGGGTCAGAGGGGAGGAGACAAGAATGGATAACAGGCGAAAGAGCGTTCTCACAGCTCTGTCATCTCATCATCTCTCCCTCCACTCCTGCAGGTGGAGCTGCATCCCTACCTGGTCCAGTCTGACCTGGTGGAGTTCTGCAAGTCTCGCAACATCGCCCTCACTGCCTACAGCCCCTTTGGTTCCCCTGGAAGACCCAAAGACCTGTGAGTCCTCCTGACAATAACATGTATACAGTAGCGACTGGACTATGATCCTGCACTATTGACCCCACTATTGGCCGAGTAAACATCCCTCCCTATGTTCCAAAAGTTGACTGTGTCAATACTTCCTGCAGTCACTGTGGAGACACTGATCCTGAGAAGCTGCTGGAGGACCCTGTGGTAGGAGACGTGGCTAAGAAGCACCGACGGAGCCCTGCTCAGGTTAGACTAGATAGTTCAGTAGAAACACACATCTAAGGTGTATGCGTCTCAGCTGTGTGTCAATCTCAGATCTGTCTTCAGGGAGTGTGTGTGTGTGTGTGTGTGTGAATGAGTATCTGAGCTCTGCATCTAAGGACTGTATGTGTGTGTGTGTTGTTTCAGGTGCTGCTGAGGTACCATGTGCAGCAGGGTATAGCAGTGATCCCCAAAAGTGTCAAACCCAACCACATCCTGGAAAACACTAAGGTGAACTCTCTTTGACCCAATATAGATTATATTTCCTCATTTGTACTACATGTAGCTCTTGCTCAATCATACCATGAGTTCATATCAAGTTCAGTTTGAGGAATATGACTTTGACTGATATAGTATTCAGTCTTAGTGCTAGTTTGATCAATGTCAGATCAATGTCTTGGTTTACACATTTAGTTACTAACTAATTACTCGCTAACATAAATCAATGGAGATGTCACTTTTGACAACCATTCAAATGTGTCAAAGGTACAATAAACACTCAAAAATAAAGTGTATTGTCTGCAGATCTTTGACTTCTCTCTGACTGAGGAGGACATGTCAGCACTGAGAGGACTAAATAGAGGCTGGAAGAGCTGCATCATCGACTCGTAAGACATGCTAAACCCTTCCTTTTACAAAAATACTTAATACATCAATAATTCCATGTAGAGAACAACTGCTCCTACCCTGACATGTTTCTGTTCTTCAGATTGAAGTCTCATCCATACTACCCCTTTGAATGACAGTCCCTGGGGATCAGCGAGTTGAGACAAGAGACAGAGAAGTCACTTGGGAGAACAAAATAACTGCTTCTCAACCTGAGAACATAGCCAGATTACTATCCACCTTCTCATCAACATCAGCAGCATCGGCCTGCAAATGGTCTTCAACCAGTGTTTATTGTTTACCTATAATGTGAAACTGTGATGATAAATAGAAACTTGGCCTCCCGAGTGGCGCAGTGGTCTAAGGCACTGCATCGCAGTGCTAGCTGTGCCACTAAAGATCCTGGTTCGAATCCAGGCTCTGTCGTAGCCGGCCGCGACCGGGAGACCCATGGGGCGGTGCATAATTGGCCCAGCGTCGTCCAGGGTAGGGGAGGGAATGGCCGGCAGGGATGTAGAGCATGGCGTTTGCAACGCCAGGGTTGTGGGTTCATTTCCCATGGGGGGCCAGTATGAAAAATAAAATAATGTATGCACTCACTAACTGTAAGTCGCTCTGGATAAGAGCGTCTGCTAAATGACTAAAATGTAAATGTAAGGTATAGATGGATGGTATTGTTTTTTTGTTGGCATGATTTGAATAGATATACTGTGCCCTGTCTGCCTGATTCTGAAAGGATTCAATGTAGTTTTTTTATCCTCAAAACTCAAACAAAACGTTTAGTTTAAAACACATATACCGAAAAAATATATAAACGCATGTAAAGTGTTGGTCCCATTTTTCATGAGCTGAAATAAGAGAGGCCAGACATTATCCATACACACAAAAAGCTTATTTCGCTCACATTTTGTGCATACATTTTGTGGTACAAATTTGTTTACATCCCTGTTAGGGAGCATTTATCCTTTGCCAAGATAATCCATCAACCTGACAGGTGTGGCATATCAAGAAGCTGATTAAGCAGCATGATCATTACACAGGTGCACCTTGTGCTGGGGACAATTAAAGGCCACTCTAAAACGTGCAGTTTTGTCACACAACACAATGCCACAGATGTCTCAAGTTCTGAGGGAGCGTGCAATTGGCATGCTGACTGCAGGAATGTCCAACAGAGCTGTTGCCAGAGAATGTAATGTTCATTTCTCTACCATAAGCCGCCTCCAACGTCATTTTTATAGAATTTGGCAGTACATCCAACTGGCCGCACAACAGCAGACCACGTGTAACTATGCCAGCCCAGGACCTCCACATCCAGCTTCTTCACCTGCGGGATCGTCTGAGGAGGGGGAAGGGAGGTGCTGAGGAGTATTATTATTTATAATTTCTTTGCACTTTTACCCCCTTTTCTCCCGAATTTCGTGATATCCAATTACAGTCTTGTCCTATCGCTGCAACTCCCCTAAGGACTGGAGAGGCGAAGGTCGAGAGCCATGCGTCCTCTGAAACACGACCCTGCCAAGCCGCACTGCTTCTTGACACAATGCTCGCTTAACCCGGAAGCCAGCCGCACCAATGTGTCGGAGGAAACACCGTCCAACTGGCGACCGAAGTCAGCTTGCAGGCGCCCGGCCCGCCACAAGGAGTCGCTAGAGCGCGATGGGTTGGTTAGTTGGTAGAGCATGGCGTTTGCAACGCCAGGGTTGTGGGTTCGATTCCCACGGGGGTATAAAAAATAATGTATGCACTCATTAACTGTAAGTCGCTCTGGATAAGAGCGTCTGCTAAATGACTAAAATGTAAATCTGATTTTGGTTGAATTCTTAAAGCATGAATAGTTTAGGGATGTAATGATTTAACAGGGAGTGAATATATAGAGTGTTATAATGTGTATGTCATATCAGGTATATTAGTAGAACAAATAGGAGTTTAACATTGTATCTATTAACAGTCTTGGATTTTCAAGCAATTGGGTTTGAGATGTCACTCATTAGACTATGTAAGTGATAATCACATAGCATTGTATGTTATTATAGTAGATAAAGAGGGAATGTATGTGATTATATGGGGGATACATGTTGGCCATTAAGATTAGGAAGGTATTGGGAATTTAAATAAAGCTATGGGAAATATTAGAGACATATAGGAAGGTATTAGGAGTATGAATAGAGATGTATCAGTCAATATAAATGCAAGGAGAGAAAGGATAAATTATTAATATATCATGTTATTCCAGTTTAGAGTACATTGATAATGTTGATTGAGGAATAAGGAATGTTAAGATGGAGATGTGTAAAGTGGATTTTACGGTGTACAGGATTGAAGATCAGATTGCGCCCCAAGTGACCAGTGACAAGCTTGGGGTTCATCTGTATGAAGAAGATTGCAGTTGTTTTATTTTGAAATATTCATTTGAATATATTGTAATATCCATGTAACTTAGTAATGGTCATGGATCTTTGTATTTGTGGGGATGATGTCATGATGGTCACAATTTATTTTATGGATGTTTTTCTTGGTCGCATGTCTCAGAAAAAGGGGTCATTTTAAAATGGGGGATGTCTATGTGGGATTTTTCCTTATATATATATATAAGTAAGGTTTTGACTACATAGATTATTAGCATGAATATATAGTAGTTAATTATGTGTTTATCTTTTACTCAGACTGAGTCTATAGAGGTTTGAGAGGTTTGATATCGCATAAGATAGATGACTGAGAATTTATACCTTTGTTGATTAAATATATTGAGAATCAAGTTGGATTCAGGTATAGAAGGTAGAAAGGGGGGAATTCTCAGTTATCTAGCATAGTTTAGGCTCTAGTCAGATATATATATATACTACTGATTGGGAATATTGTATTTTATATGAACTGTTGGGGGTTAAGTAATTTTACTTGCCACAAAATAAGAAAAAAAAAGTGGATTGTAATGATGTCATGTCATAGTATCGTGGGGACCAGGTTAAAGTTACTAGATAAGTGGTTTGCTGCCACGGAGTCTACATTCCGTTATTACTGAGGTTGATCTTAGAATAATTGATAGACAGGATATACTGACAGGGGTAAAGGGTAATAACATCAAAGAATGGGAGTGCCCATGATGATTACCAGATGTTCGTGGAGAGACTTGTAACAGAGTGTATATATAGAGAGAGTGGATCTTTGTTCCGGAGTTAGGAAGTTGGCAGAGGCATGGCCATGTCCCTATGTCTGTTATAACTAACCATGGTACCATATTAAATATCTAATATGAACTCCCCATCAAAAGTGTCTAAGTACATCCTTACATTCGTAATCACTTGATACCCTAGAAACTCATCATAACAATAGGTCACATCATGCTACTAACCTTGGATGACTCACTTATCCGTTGAGGCCATGAAACACAGCATTGTCTTACATTATCCATTGTGTGCTCTCAATCCAACACTATCTGAAGGACAGGGAAATTTGAATACGAATGACAGAATTGAGAGAAATCACAAGTGGGCTACTAGCCCTTGATCATGATTCTCAGTTCCATTACATTATACATAAGTCATTGGACAAAGGTGTCTTCTGTACGGGGAACTTTTGTTAAGAGCCCCAACGCTCAGTCTGAACATTAACATGCATCACTTGCAGTACGGTTTTGGAAGCATAAGGACCTTAGCCTTATCTTTTGACTTTATGTTTTGTTTATATTTACATTTACATTTACATTTACGTCATTTAGCAGACGCTCTTATCCAGAGCGACTTACAAATTGGTGCATTCACCCTATAGCCAGTGGGATAACCACTTTACAATTTTTTATTTATTTTTATTTTTAGGGGGGGGTGTAATAATAATAATAATAATAATATGCCATTTAGCAGACGCTTTTATCCAAAGCGACTTACAGTCGTGCGTGCATACATTTTTGTGTATGGGTGGTCCCGGGGATCGAACCCACTACCTTGGCGTTACAAGCGCCGTGCTCTACCAGCTGAGCTACAGAGGACCAGAGGGGGGGGTGTAGAAGGATTACTTTATCCTATCCCAGGTATTCCTTAAAGAGGTGGGGTTTCAAATGTCTCCGGAAATGTCTCTTTACCCCATATGTAACTCTGTGTTGTTGTTTTTATCGCAGTGCTTTTGCTTTATCTTGGCCAGGTCGCAGTTGTAAATGAGAACTTGTTCTCAACTGGTTTACCTGGTTGAATAAAGGTGAAATTAAAAAATTAAAATCAAAAAAATATCAACAAGATTTTTTTTAAACTAAAGGTTAAATTGATACACACCTTTATAGGGTTAGGGTTAGTGTTCCCACAAGGCCATATCTCCATGTTACAGCATGTTTACAGAAGACAGAGGGACCACCTGTGCTAATTAGCTATCTAGCATGCTCCGAACACCTGTGTGTAACGGAAGAAGGCCGCCAGAAACGTGTTGTCACTGAAAAATACTGTAGGCTGCAACTGTGCTAAAACCATCATTTAAAAAAATTATTCTGATGTGATATGAAAGTAAAGGGCTTTATGTTTGTAGAACCGTATTGCAATTGAGAATCAATTCACGTTTAGATGGAGTATTTGGCTGTTTTGGCTGCCAGAGCCAGTCCACCTCTGAAAATAACATAAGGTCATTTGACCTTAAGAGTAACATCTTGGGCTAGTGGGCTACATAATTTCAGTTGTGTAAAGTCCTTAAGTAAAAAATACTTTAAAGTAATACTTAAGTCGATTGTTGGGGTATCTGGGCCCAGTTGCATAAAACAAGTGTTTCCCTTTAGGGTTTACCTTAAGGAATAATTTTCCCTTACCTAAGGGAATTGTTTAAGGGCGTTGCATAGAGCCTCTCAAATGTTTCCGTAGGTAAGGGCATACTTAAGGGGTTTTACGGTAGTTTGAAGGCATGTATGGCAGAAAGAGTATCTGGTTACCATAAAGACGGCCTGATTCACTGACTAAACGTCTCGCCAAAGAGATTGCTTTTATTTTGTGAAATAGCAAAATAGAACTTCTACAATCAAGACAGGATAACCAAATTGCTTCAGAAGATAATAAAGCACGTTTCTTGTACTTATTTTTTTCTCAACTTGTTTATTTTACTTTCTAGTATGTCAAGCTAGCTTACAGAGTAGCTATAGCTAACTAGCTTTGTAGCCATGGATTGTGCACCTTCCATTGTTTAGCTAAGTAGCTAGCTGGTTGATGTTTTCCTTTTGTAGCTAACCAGAGCAGATGAAAGCAACATTCACCTCCACAAATGCTGTTTACATTGAAATCCATACTGAATTAAGCAGTTAAGGGAGCTCATTGGAACCCTTAACTTTTTCACTTAATTTAAGAGGGAAATTCACCATAAAATGTTTTGTGCAACTGACTTAAAGTTAAGGAAACTTTAAGGGAAAAGATAATGGGGAAATTAACTTAAGGTGTTTTATGCAACCGGGCTCTGTATTTATATGTTTGACAACTTTTCCTTTTACTTCACTACATTCCTAAAGAAAATAATGTACTTTTTACTCCATACATTTTCCCTGACACTAGTTACATTTTGAATTCTTAGCAGGACAGGAAAATGGCCCAATTCACGCTCTTATCAAGTGAACATCCCTGGTCATCCCTACTGCCTCTTATCTGGCCGACTCACTAAACACAAATGTATGTTTGTTAGTTATGTCTGAGTGTTGGAGTATGCTCTTGGCTATCCGTAAATTAAAAAAGAAAATTGTTCCGTCTGGTTGGCCTAATACAAGCAATTTGAAATGATTTATAGTTTTACTTTTGATACTTAAGCATATTTTTGCAATTACATTTACTTTTGATACTTATGTATATTTCAAACCAAATACTTTTAGACTTTTACTCAAGTAGTATTTTACTGGCTAACTTTTACTTAAGTCATTTTATATTAAGGTATCTTTACTTTTACTCAAATATGACTTTTGGGTACTTTTTCCACCACTGCATAACTTGGACTACAGCCGAACTTTGGGGTTGCTTATCAAGAAAATTTGACAATGACATCATGCCACAATGTATCACCTCACTTTGACCTCTCAGGAGAGGACACTGGGAGAATATTGGCGTCTTGTTACATTGTAGCGGCTATTCAACAGCAACTTTGAGATCCTACTATCAGTAGACTAGCAACAATCTACACGAGACGCTTTTATTTTCGACAGCGATATTGATCGTGCGAGAATAAAAACACCTATTTTAAATTTACCACAGCATCATCCGTTGTTATATCTTGCTTGATCAAAAGCATTTTGAAAATGTATTATTTTGTTGTTTAATCGCAGCCATGATCTCATCCAGGAAGTAGCCGTAGACTGTCTGTGAATCCAACCAATCACAGGGCGAGTGCATGGGGCCACTTGGGATGCATTCAGAAACGGCAATTAGGCCTACCATGCATGCACTGCTAAAAACGTCAAGCTATTGGACACAGATTTAAAAGGTTAGTTTGAGAATTGCACTGCTAAATGTTTCTCCCCGCAATCATAGCCCTCAGTGTAGAAACTTTTAGATTACATGTTGATTTTATTGTAGATATTTTGGGCTCATCAATTCATGGGGGATGTGATCATGCAGGTACAGCCGTTGTAAAATGACTAACACCTATCACACACACAATCTCTCTCTATTTCTTTTTTTCTTTCTCTTTCTCTCTCGCTTGGTCCCCTCATATAGCTTGAAATAAATGACCTCAATCTCTGTATTCTAGTCCTACTTTCCATGGTTTATTATTTTCTTTGAATGTTTAATTGTCTATTGGGCTATAATCACACTGCCCCCAAATGTGGGTATTGGTTTAGGAACTGTTTGCTGCGGGCTATTGTTCTCATGCATCGATCACATTAACAGACCACAAGAGGGCAGGATAGCGCAGTAAAACGGTAACAATAGAAAAAGGGTGGATTTAATTTGACTGAATACCTCAGTTGACTATTGGGAGGTGAATACTGCGTCTGGGGACTTCACTTCGCCGCACTAGTACGGCAACCTGATTGACAAACATCACCAACGCCCATTAACTGGATATAGGAAATGAATCGAGTCGTGGAAAGAGTCTCTTTCTCAGATAATTGAGAAAATATACACCCTGCTCAGCGCGCTCCTCGTGTAATAGCGCAGACTCGACTGCTCAGTAGGGGCTCGTGATTTCAGACTAGAGCTGTCTCTATTGTATGACTCTCATTCTGCTCCTTTTGGATTTTTCTTTTCGCCTCGCTTTCTTCACTTCGACTACCGGTAGCCTATCTGTTCTGCGCTCTCATCTCTACTGTCCATTTGCGTCCATCCAAAATGGCAACACGAATCGATAAAGAGGCTTGCAGGGAAGCTTATAACCTCGTCAGAGACGATAACACGGAGATAAACTGGTGAGTGTGGTGAAATTAGTTGTGCATAGGCAATTGTGGGCATCTGAGAGTTTACACAGCATCCTAAAAATATATATATTTTTATAAAATATATAACAATGTATGGATAATCAAACTGCGCACTTCTCATTCATTCATCCAGTGTTTAATTTGATTAAAATTGTTTCTATCCTCGCCATAAATTACCTCTCTTGGTCTAATAAATCAGGATACCGGGGCATGACGAATTCATTTTGCCTATCCAAGAGGTACAGTGATAATGACACGTATATGTTGACACAAAACCGGACACGTCTGCCCTCATTTGACAGATCGGTTTTTGAATTAATAGCCTACTCACCCTGGTCGCCACTAGATACATTGTAATCCTATCCGATAGATGTCGGATGATGGAAGTGGACACGCATTAGTGGAGTAGACTGGCATGGAGGATTACCGATTTTATTGACAGACAGGGTCTGAATATTCCATTTGAGATTACTGTAAGGTTAGTGCATTTTAATTCATTCATTTATTGTACCTTTTATGTTATTTTAGGGCAGCGTTTAAATATGAGGGCCATATGATTGTGCCGGCGGGCCAGGGGACTGATTATGAAGAATTCAAGAGTCAGTGCACAGGTAAGGCCTGGATTTCATTCATTTTTGCGTTTATGCGGTTCTTTCAAATAGGCGGCAATGGTCCTGAGTAATGGCAACAGCGCTGTAATAACCTATAAACCACACACATTTTAACGATTTGTTGCCATGTCAGTCAGTAGTGCTCATTGAGTTGTTGGAAACTTATATTATCTGAAATGTTGTTGCTTGTAAAGTAGTAAAGAATGTCAGCGCTTGAAGGAACTTCGGATTTGTGACTCCCTGTAGCCTACAAGAGCAATAATCTTATAAAACTCTGTCCTCTATTGGACGTCAGTATGCTACTTAATCCAGAAGTACTGCGACCTAGTTAACATTTAATAGCCTATCTGTCCCGTGACTTCATACGGAAGTAGGCCTTTCTGGGTTCTTAAAAAGTGTGAACTATATAGGTTTATAATATTAGTAACATTGAAAGTGTGTCCACTATATAGGACATAGTATAAATGTGCCACCCCAGGGAGCAAATCATGCTGTCACCACCCTATCAGCACACTTCCCTGACACTCTCATCCCCTTAATTAGATACTTGAGTGTTGGGCGTGGCGCATATAAACTCCACCGTTGGTGCGCGCGCCTGTATTGCACCTGGCTGTAGGCTGCTCCGGTTTATTTATGTTTCAGGGCATATATTCCAGTGATGAAATTATGATTTGTTACGATCTAGGCCTATTACTGATGTATTACCCTTTTAAAAAGGATAACTGATGTATTACTATACTAACTACCCAAATAGTACCCCTGGCTGTCCAATACTACCATTGTCTCTCCTCACTTTGAACCTTGTCTTTGCCCAGGGAATATTGTTGCTCTAATCCTACTGTATAAGAAGTTTAATACATTCTGATGAGTCTGCTTTAACAGAAACTGTGAAAGTCTCATCCTGTCTTTGAGGGCCACCGGCTGTTGCAGTCAAAAGTAGATGAGTGAATACTTCTATGGGAAGGCTCAGTAATTGCATCTGTTGTTTAGATAGACATAGTGTGCTAAAATAAACATATGTCTTTCTTATCAACTAAAGGGCTAAACTAAAGCGTTCTATTTGTCTTTTTGCTACATGATCATAGTCTCAGTAGTGCAGCAGTTTTCTGGGCACTTGTGTTAACAGCGTTGTCAGCACAACTAAAATGGATGTCTTAGAGAGGGAAGAGATATTGAGCTCAGTCTGACAAACCAGAACGTTTACGACAGGGGAGTTCAGGCTTGATACTCAGGAGTTAGCAGAATTAGTGTTTTCTTTCAACAGTGTTATATGCTTATTCATTACTTGTCAGCCTTAACCGCTACCACAATGGGACAAATATGTAAATAAGCACAAAACATTTGACATTTTTTATGAATTTAAGTGCTAGAAACATCTCATTGTGGTCATTATACAGAGAAACAGTATAGACCTGTGTGTGGTCTGGTGGATATCGTGGCTAAGTCATGTGACATGTAGGGGACATGCTGGGTAGGTGTTGAAACTAACAATGGCCTTTGTAACCATGCTGATAACAGTTTGAACACTGATTCTTGTTCATGCACAACAAAAGCCTTTAGATGAATGCTGCTTGTGAAGCTCTGCCAGGAAAATCTCTATCAGCAAGGCACAGGTAAACACAGATATCATGCGTAGATGGTACCGATCAGTACAGAGGGAACCAATGGGGCATTATTAATGGTAAGGAAGGGCCAGGGCCCCGACCAGAGCAGAGTCATGTCATAAATGTGTTATTACTTTTACTATAATCTACTTTGAGAAATGGTTTGGCACATATTTGGTGTGTTGGACTATACAGTCGTGGTCAAAAGTTTTGAGAATGACACAAGTATTGGTCTTCACAAAGTTCGCTGCTTCAGTGTTATGAGAAATGTTACTATGGTATACTGAAGTATAATTACAAGCATTCCATAAGTGTCAAAGGCTTTTATTGACAATTACGTTAAGTTTATGCAAAGAGTCAATATTTGCAGTGTTGACCCTTCTTTTTCAAGATCGCTGCAATTCGCCCTGGCATGCTGTCAATTAACTTCTGGGCCACATCCTGACTGATGGCAGCCCATTCTTGCATAATCAATGCTAGGAGATTGTCAGAATTTGTGGGTTTTTGTTTGTCCACCCACCTCTTGAGGATCGACCACAAGTTCTCAATGGGATTAAGGTCTGGGGAGTTTCCTGGCCATGGACCCAAAATGTCGATGTTTTGTTCCCCGAGCCACTTAGTTATCACTTTTGCCTTATGGCAAGGTGCTCCATCATGCTGGAAAAGGCATTGGTCGTCACCAAACTGTTCTTCGATGGTTGGGAGAAGTTACTCTCGGAGGATGTGTTGGTACCATTCTTTATTCATGGCTGTGTTCTTAGGCAAAATTGTGAGTGAGCCCACTCCCTTGGCTGAGAAGCAACCCCACACATGAATGGTCTCAGAATGCTTTACTGTTGGCATGACACAGGACTGATGGTAGCGCTCACCTTGTCTTCTCCGGACAAGGTGTTTTCCGGATGCCCCAAACAATCGGAAAGGGGATTCATCAGAGGAAATGACTTTACCCCAGTCCTCAGCAGTCCAATCCCTGTACCTTTTGCAGAATATCAGTCTGTCCCTGATGTTTTTCCTGGAGAGAAGTGGCTTCTTTGCTGCCCTTCTTGACACCAGGCCATCCTCCAAAAGTATTCGCCTCACTGTATGTGCAGATGCACTCACACCTGCCTGCTGCCATTCCTGAGCAAGCTCTGCACTGGTGGTGCCCCGATCCCGCAGCTGAATCAACTTTAGGAGACTGTCCTGGCGCTTGCTGGACTCTCTTGGGCACCCTGATGCCTTCTTCACAACAATTGAACCTCTCTCCTTGAAGTTCTTGATGATCCGATAAATGGTTGATTTAGGTGCATTCTTACTAGCAGCAATATCCTTGCCTGTGAAGCCCTTTTTGTGCAAAGCAATAATGACGGCACATGTTTCCTTGCAGGTAACCATGGTTAACAGAGGAAGAACAATGATTTCAAGCACCACCCTCCTTTTAAAGCTTCCAGACTGTTGTTCTAACTCAATCAGCATGACAGAGTGATCTCCAGCCTTGTCCTCATCAACACTCTCACCTGTGTTAACGAGAGAATCACTGACATGATGGCAGCTGGTCCTTTTGTGGCAGGGCTGAAATTGGATTTTTTTGGGATTAAGTTCATTTTCATGGCAAAGAGGGACTTTGCAATTAATTGCAATTCATCTGATCACTCGGAGGCATCAAAACTGAGGCATCAAAACTGAGGCAGCAGACTTTGTGAAAATTAGTATTTGTGTCATTCTCAAAACTTTTGACCACGACTGTACAGAAAACCCCCCAGCTCTATTCCAAGACAATGCAGCTGGTGATGTAGGTGAACATGTGATGTGAATGTGTGTTTTAGTGTGTTTGTGTGAGAGAGACAGAGAGTGAAAGAGTGAACCCACAATCACTGCCTCCCCAGTCCCCTCGGTATTGCTCACAACTCCAGCCCCCTTTTATTAAGTCTGTTGACCTGAATACCTCCCCCTGTCTCTCGTACTCACAGATTTATCCCACTTTTGGATTTGGTGCTTGGCCAAGGCAGTGTCACCATAACAAGCCAAAACTCCCCGCCTGTATTCATACTTCTTACAGCAGCATAGAAAAACTCTCACAGGAATCAGGCCTTGCCAATTGCTGGCACAAAACATGGACATGGTGACAAATCCATTTCTCTAACAACTATACTGTAATTATCTGTCATGAGGCAGCTGGGAATGGAAATGTTCTGCTGTGTCATCAGCCTCTCTGCATGTTTCTGCTTGTCTGATGGTCAGTCTCATCTCTGACTCTCTCTCTCTCTCTCAGATGATGTGCGTCTCTTTGGCTTTGTGCGGATCACAACGGGTGACGCCATGAGCAAGCGGGCCAAGTTCACCCTCATCACCTGGATAGGGGAAAACGTGAGCGGCCTGCAGCGTGCCAAGATCAGCACTGACAAGACACTGGTGAAAGATATTGTCCAGGTTAGGGACTCTCTGTTCTCACACATACTCACATGATTCCTTCACAAATATCAAATATTTATGTTCTGTTAAAATATAGTAAATTAAATGGCAAATAAAGTATAACACAATTTTGTACCTGTGCCATCTCTCTAGCTTCGTTTGTCTTTTTTGAAGAGTCTTTCTCTTACATTCCTCTCTCTATCAACCCCCCCCCCCCCCCTGTTTGTGTCCTGCAGAACTTTGCCAAGGAGTTCATGATCAGTGATCCTCGTGAGCTGGAAGAGGACTACATTCGCACCGAGCTGAAGAAGGCGGGCGGGGCCAACTATGACGCCCAGGGAGAGTAGAACAGAGTCCATCAGGGCGGGGCAGGGGAGGGGCTGCTACCTTTTGGGGGAGGGAGGGGTCTTCATGCCTGGATGAGAGAGTGACGGGGATATATACACACACACGTACAGACACGCAGACACATTAACACACAGCAACACACACACTCTCACAAAAAAGCATGTTGAGACACACTCAGACATATATGCCTACAGTCCTATCCTCAGCCCTCTCACCTGTCAGGTCATGGATTATTATCTACTGTACTGTGCATCATCTCAGTCTCATCTCAGCTGCGGCACAACGTTAAGAACTCTCTCAATCTAGGGGGCTGTGTTTGTGTTACAACTGGAAAAGTCACATTACTGTACTGTTTGTCAGAACAAGGGCAGAGGGATTCGCTTTGCCTCTATCTGATTTGACTTGTCATCATTGTGCTTTTACTGTATACTTCTGTGGTTGTAGTCCAAACATGCATCCTTGGTCAATAGAGGTCCTTCCTGCCCAGCGTTTCTCATCTCCCAATCCACCCCCAAGGTATATACCCCGCTGTGTTTACTGCCTTAATCTCCCATGGAGAGAGGGGCATCATGGGAGGCGTGTGTGTTTTTGGATACTACACTGTGATTGGCTATCCTCCACTCATGGGGGTGGGACTATGATTTTCCTATGGCCCACAAACCAATGGGACAGGGCTGTAGCACTTTCAGTCAGCCCAACCCAGGAGCAGCCATTTCTCTAGTGTAGCCTCTCTTTTTATTTGGATTAAACCCCCAAAATGCATTTTTTTCAACGATTATTTTTTATTTTCTCTAACCTTTGATTTATTTTTGAGAGCAATGTTATCTAGGAGATTTGAGGAGACTTTTAAAAACTGAACTGGGCACATGACCAATCATTTCAGAATAAAAAAAATGTTTTTTCAAGCTCGCTGGTCTCTTTGTTTGTGTCTAAAGCTCTCATTTACATGGACAGGAGGGCTCTTTGGGTGATGTGAGAATAAGGTAAATTAGTTTTGTGGTGGTTGTGAGACTCAGTGGGGCAGTGATGTAATGGAAGCCCTTGGCATTGTGCCACTCTAGTCCAGAGTACACATAGTAACTGGGCTTGTTTGAGTGGTAATGTGAAAGCAACTGACTGTAGACAAAAGTCGAGGAGTGAAGTCGGGGGAGGTGCATCTGCAACAGCTGAAAGTTAGACCCTGATGTGGTTTTCCAACAGCAAGCCTCAGCGCAACATGGCAGTGTTGTCATTGTTTATAAACATATTTTTTTATAATGTCAAAATTAATAGGTCTCTAACCCCCATATCACACACCACAAACTGAAAATAATGTGTGTACATTGTACAATCAATTGGTGAGAGAGAGAGCCTTAAATATCACATTAATTTGTACATATCCACTGTATACATGAATTGCGGCAAAGTTGGTTCCTGTTTCAGTCACGTCTTTGGTCACGTTTGCGTGGGTCAAACAAAAACACCCTAATGATTGGTTGACAATAGAGCCTTTCACAATGCAGGTGATGCTGCAGGATGAAGTTGGTGAAGAGCAATTGCAGAAACTTGCAGTCAATTCTTCATGACCTTTGATAACATGATTTTTGTAAAGTTCATGCAGTCGGACAATTCTTATCCCCATAATGCAACACACTTTGAAAGGCGGTGACCAACGATGGTCACCAACTTGACAAAAGTGATCTACTCGAACGTGCCCACTGTCTCTGGGGGTTTATGGGAGTAGCATGTTGTCACAGTCACCACTTCTGTCAGACTCAACCAATCACAGCCTCAGGGTGAGCTGTTCTGTTCTAAAGCTGGTCAATAAGAACCCCTCCCTACTCCCACTCCCTCAATCCCTCTGTTGACTAACCCCTCTTCTCCCCTCTCTCTCCAACCATTTTCTTTTTGCCACTATTCTCTCTCGCCACCCCCATCCATTCCCCCTTTCCCCCTCTCAGCCGGTAGTTTTGTTCAACAAATGTGAACTCGACTGCCTAATTACTTAATCTAGTAATCTATAAGCCTCTTGCAGTCTGCTTTTATGACATCTAGTTCAGTTTGTAGTGGGTAAGAGAATGATAGAGTGGGTATGACCCTATGTGGAATTTGAATGCTAATGTTTGTTTGTGTAGTTTGAGCGTTGAATGTTGTTTATCTCAGGTCAATTTGGCTGCGTTTACACGGGCAGCCCAGTTCTGATCTTTTTTCCACTAATTGGTATTTTGACCAATCACATCAGATCGTTACACATCAGATCTTTTTCAGAGCTGATCTGATTGGTCAAAAGACCAATTACTGAAAAAAAGATCAGAATTGGCCTGCCTGTGTAAACGCAGCCTTAATAGCCTCCAGCAAAACTGGTTCAGGTCCAGACATGGGGCCTGAGTGGTGAAGGGGAGGGAGAACAGGGGACTGAGAGACTAATAGGTTACAGAGTTCTGGAAGAGGCTGTAGTCAGGTTAAGATAAGGATTCAGGGTTCAGTATTGTCACAGTAAGGCCTACAGACTCCAATAATTGAGGATGCAGGGTGAGATTACATCTTGTGTTTATTGTGTTTGCTTTTAAGTAGATGTGTGTGTGTACGGCGTGCGTTTATGTTCATGTGTGCGTATAGTCCCCGAGTGGCGCAGTGGTCTAAGGCACTGCATCGCAGTGCTAGCTATCCTGGTTCGAATCCAGGCTCTGTCGTAGCAGGCCGCGACCGGGAGACCTATGGGGCGGCGCACAATTGGCCAGCGTCGTCCAGGGTAGGGGAGGGAATGGCCTGCAGGGATGTAGCTCAGTTGGTAGAGCATGGCGTTTGCAATGCCAGGGTTGTGGGTTCAATTCCCACGGGGGACCAGTATGAAAAATAAAAAAATAATGTAAGTCGCTCTGGATAAGAGCGTCTGCTAAATGACTTAAATGTAATGTGTGTGCTGATGTGTGTGTGATCTGGTTAGGGATGTATGTATGTGTGTGTGTGTGTGTGTGACTTAGCCCAGTTGGAGCTGAGTGGAGGATGGGTGAGATGGTGTTGTCTTAGGGGACCATATTAATTAGATGAATGACTTTAGGGGGTTAATTTGCATCCTTGTCACACTGGTGGACAGACTGCTTTCTGAAGCAGGAAGCACCAGTGACTTGGTTAATAAAAAAGTGGTCAGATGACGCTAAGCTACAGGACTGTTTTGCTAGCACAGACTGGAACATGTTCCAGGATTCTTCAGATAGCATTGAGGAGTACACCACATCAGTCACTGGCTTCATCAATAAGTGCATCGATGACATCGTCCCCACAGTGACCGTACATACATACCCCAACCAGAAGCCATGGATTACAGACAACATCCGCACTGAGCTAAAGGGTAGAGCTGTCGCTTTCAAGGAGCGGGACTCTAACCCGGACGCTTATAAGAAATCCCGCTATGCCCTCCGATGAACCATCAAAAAGGCAAAGAGTCAATACAGGACTAAGATTGAATCGTACTACACCGACTGACGCTCATAGGATGTGGCAGGGCTTGAAAACTATTACAGACTACAAAGGGAAGCACAGCTGCAAGCTGCCCAGTGACACAAGCCTACCAGACGAGCTAAACCACTTCTATGCTCGCTTCGAGGCAAGCAACACTGAAGTATGCATGAGAGCACCAGCTGTTCCAGATGACTATGTGATCACGCTCTCCGTAGCCGATGTGAGTAAGACTTTTAAGCAGGTCAACATTCACAAGGCCGCAGGGCCAGACGGATTACCAGGACATGTACTCCGAGCATGTGCTGACCAACTGGCAAGTGTCTTCACTGACATTTTCAACATGTCCCTGACTGAGTCTGTAATACCAACATGTTTCAAGCAGACCACCATAGTCCCCGTGCCCAAGGACACTAAGATAACTTGCCTAAATGACTACCGACCCGTAGCACTGACGTCTGTAGCCATGAAGTGCTTTGAAAGGCTGGTCATGGCTCACATCAACACCATTATCCCAGAATCCCTAGACCCACCCTAATTTGCATACCGCCCCAACAGATCCACAGATGATGCAATCTCTATTGCACTCCACACTGCCCTTTCCCACCTGGACAAGAGGAACACCTACGTGAGAATGCTGTTCATTGACTACAGCTCAACGTTCAACACCATAGTGCCCTCAAAGCTCATCACTAAGCTAAGGATCCTGGGACTAAACACCTCCCTCTGCAACTGGATCCTGGACTTCCTGATGGGCCGCCCCCAGGTGGTAAGGGTAGGTAACAACACATCTGCCACGCTGATCCTCAACACGGGGGCCCCTCAGGGGTGCGTGCTCAGTCCCCTCCTGTACTCCCTGTTCAACTCCCTCCAACACCATCATTAAGTTTGCCGACGACACAACAGTGGTAGGCCTGATCACCGACAACGATGAGACAGCCTATAGGGAGGAGGTCAGAGACCTGGCCGTGTGGTGCCAGGATAACAACCTATCCCTCAACTTGACCAAGACAAAGGAGATGATTGTGGACTACAGGAAAAAGAAGAGGACCGAGCACGCTCCCATTCTCATCGATGGGGCTGTAGTGGAGCAGGTTGAGAGCTTCAAGTTCCTTGGTGTCCACATCACCAACAAACTATCATGGTCCAAACACACCAAGACAGTCGTGAAGAGGGCACAACAAAGCCTATTCCCCTTCCGGAGACTGAAAATATTTGGCATGGGTCCTCAGATCCTCAAAAAGTTATACAGCTGCACCATTGAGAGCATCCTGACTGGTTGCATCACCGCCTGGTATGGCAACTGCTCGGCCTCCGACCGCAAGGCACTACAGAGGGTAGTGCGTACGGCCCAGTACATCACTGGGGCCAAGCTTCCTGCCATCCAGGACCTCTATACCAGGCGGTGTCAGTGGAAGGCCCTCAAATTTGTCAAAGACTCCAGCCACCCTAGTCATAGACTGTTCTCTCTGCTACCGCACGGCAAGCGGTACCGGAGTGCCATGTCTAGGTCCAAAAGGCTTCTCAACAGCTTCTACACCCAAGCCATAAGACTCCTGAACAGCTAATCATGGCTACCCAGACTATTTGCACTGCCCCCCCACCACCACCCCATCTTTTTACGCTGCTGCTACTCTGTTAATTATTTATGCATAGTCACTTTAACTCTGCCCACATGTACATATTACCTCAACTACCTCAACTAGCCGGTGCCCCCGCACATTGACTCTGCACCGGTACCCCCCTGTATATAGCCTCCCTCTGACAGCTCCACAGCTAGGCCAAAGGTAAAGCCAGCTTTTCTCCCCTGTGCTGTGGGAGTGTGTAACTATACATTACTTGCATGTAAGCTAGAGAGAGAGGGAGTAAGTACATCAGCAGAGGCTGGTGGGAGGAGCTATATGTGTTTGATACTGTTCCATTTATTCCATTCTAGCCATTACAATGAGCCCGTCCTCCTATAGCCCCTCCCACCAGCCTCATCTGAAGTACATGTGTATTAGAGTGAGGGAGAGTTGCTTAATAAGTGAGTATGCGAGTTCTGGGAGTATTGTTCACTCTGGGATTCACAAGGAAGTTCCTGCCAGCGATACTCAGCTCCTTCCTGCATTCCAGAGGCCTCCCATTTCCAGCATATTTCATATCCCACACATCACTGCAGAGTCATGTGCTTGTTTGTGTGTCTGTGTCTACGTCAGTGAATGTGTTTGAATGCCTGTGTGATCCATCTTATCCCAGCAATGTTCTTCCACTCTGAGAGGGAGGCTTTTTCTGTTGTTCTTTTGTTGTCTTTGGCAAAATATATAATTCAAACCAGATATCACATTTGACAAAAAAAACAAGAGATGTAAAGAGTATGGAGTCTGTTTTAACATCTTGCCAATATCACTGAAATGTAATTGAACTGCATTATTCACTGCAGCAGTTGACATTATCAATGTCCCTCCCTGGATTCAAAGAAAAAGGACTCCCCCAGTCACTTATCCAAATATCACAACATGGGCTAACAGTGACTAGCACGGCTGGATTGTGTACTTACGGGATATTTAACCAACCCCTTGCTGTGCAGATGATCTCATCACTCTCTTCTATCACATCTCCTCAGGTGCAAGAGGGGGAAGGGGAGTAAGGGGGAGTGGTGGGCTGTGAGTAGGGAATAGGGTTCATGGGACTGATGGGGTGATTTTGGTTGGGGAGGGGGGAGAGTTTAGGGAGGAGAGAAATTGGGGCGAGCAAGGGTGGTATGGGGGGCCCTTTCAGCCTGTGTGAATGGGAAAGGGAATGTGAGTGTGAATGGGTCAACTCTCAATGCTCCTGTGTGCCACTCCAGCATTGGCATAGAGCGGCCATTGTCAGGGTCTAATGAGCTGAGCTGCACTCCATCCACTCCATCCAAATTGATGCATCTATCTGTCTCCTCAGTGCAGTGATTGCACTGGCCGTTGGTCCACTCAGGTCACTGTTCTGTCCCCCAGATCAAACCTTCCGCTCTCTCTGTCATCCCTGTCATATGCACACTCAAATGACTTAATTTGGGAAATGATGAAAGCTGCTATTTTCCACTAGAAGAAAATATAATAGTCAATCAGATTATCTGTCATCATGGCCAATGAAGTGAGGAATATGATTGTGTAGTTTCATTTACTTTGAAAAATGAAGGATAGTTTCTCAACTGTTTTGCAGAATTGCAGAAGTGCTGTTCCAAAGAGCTCAAACGAAGATAGAAACAGAGGAAGTGATGAAGATGGAATAGAGTTTGACGATCTGATTCAGAAGAGACTATTCTTCCTAGAAACTCCTTCCGAATGTTACATGTCAATGTCACGTCTTCTTTAGAGCAACTCTAGTCTTCTAGATATATAGATAACAGACCTGAGGCAACAAATGTTCTCTCTTTCTTTCTTTTCTTCTCCCTCTCATACTTACTCACCAATATGTCCAGCTTCTATATCCAGCTTCTATGTCCAGCTTCTCTTTCTTGCTGGATTCGCCATTTAATTAAACTATAACTCAACTCCTCTGCATGGATCAATGACCCCAGCAAAATAGTTATTCATTTATTGATCCTGCTCAAGTTGCACACAGACTAATAAGATATGAAACACAGTCAGTAGACAGAGTTTATAAAGACAGATAATCTCCCTACAGCATGACTGGCTTTTTCAGAGGCAACACTTCAATATTATTGACCATTGGAAAAATGACATTATACTTATCTATAGCTAGCTACGGATACAGTATATTGCTGTCACGTTCGTTCAATGACGGGTCAGACCAAGGTGCAGCGTGATATGCGTACATGTTTATTCAACTTAATAAACACATGACAAAACAATAAATGAAACGAAACGTGAAGTGCTAAGGTAGACACACAACAAAACTTAACAAGATCCCACAACTCAACAGTGCCAATAGGCTGCCTAAGTATGATCCCCAATCAGCGACAACGAGCGACAGCTGCCTCTGATTGGGAACCACACCGGCCAACATAGAACTATACATACTAGAATGACAACCATAGAATATACACACACAGAATATACACACCCTGACTCAACATATACGAGTCCCCTGAGTCAGGGCGTGACAGTACCCCCCCCCAAAGGTGCGGACTCCGACCGCACAACATAAACATAACAGGGTAGGGGCCGGGTGGGCATTCCGCCTTGGAGGCGGATCCGGCTCCGGGCGTGACGACCTCTTACTCTCCGCCTCCCTGTTGCGCCCCTGGTCTGGTCTGGACCTCGGCGCGCTGCTTCCCCTCTCCTTCCTCCCACTATACACCAGGCCCTGTCTGGACCCTGGTGTGTGGACCCCGAACCTGGAGAGGGGCTGACGTCATGTCTGGACGGACCGCTGACTGACAGGCACGTGACAGGCAGGGCCGGCCCAACTGGGAACACGCCCCCAATGGCTTGGTGCGGGGAGCAGGCACGGGCCGTGCCGACTGGCACGCGCACCACTGGTTTGGTGCGAGGACAGGAAAAGGGGGCCGGACGGCGACGCGCACCAGGCTTGGTCGAGGACGGAACGGGCCGGGCCGGACTGGCCCCACCACTGGTTGGGTGCGGGAGCGGGAAACCCGGGCCGGGGCTGGACTGGCGAGGGCCCCGGGTTTTGGTGCAGGAGCAGGACACCCGGGGGGCTGGCGCGCGCCCCACAGTTTGGTGCGAGGAGCAGGAACGGCCGGGCCGGACGGGCGAGCCACCACAGGTTGGTGCGGGGACGGGAAAAGGGCCCGGGCCCCGGGCTTCACGCGCACCCGGTTTGGTGCGAGGGCAGGAAAGGGCCCCCGGGGACGGGCGACGCGCACCTCTATTTGGTGTGGGGAGCAGGCAGGGGCCCAAAAACCGGACTGCGAACAAGCCCCCCTAATTGGTCGAGGAGCAGGAACAGCCGGGCCGGACTGGGGATGCGCACCACTGGCTTGGTGTGAGGAGCAGGAACAGGCCAGACTGGCGACGCGCACCACAGGCTTGGTGCGAGGAGCAGGAACAGGCCGGGCCGGACTGGCGACGCGCACCACTGGCTTGGTGCGAGGAGCAGGAACCGGCCGGGCCGGACTGGCGACGCGCACCACAGGCTTGGTGCGAGGAGCAGGAACAGGCCGGGCAGGACTGGCGACGCACACCACAGGCTTGGTGCGAGGAGCAGGAACAGGCCGGGCCGGACTGGCGACGCGCACCACTGGCTTGGTGCGAGGAGCAGGAACAGGCCGGGCCGGACTGGTGACGCGCACCACTAGCTTGGTGTGGGGAGCAGGCACGGGCCATACCGGACTGGGAACACGCACCACTAACTTGGTGCGAGGAGCAGGAACAGGCCGGGCCGGACTGGGGATGCGCACCACTGGCTTGGTGTGAGGAGCAGGAACAGGCCAGACTGGCGACGCGCACCACAGGCTTGGTGCGAGGAGCAGGAACAGGCCGGGCCCGGAACTGGCGACGGCGGCACCACGGCTTGTGCGAGGAGGCAGGAACAGGCACGGGCCGGACTGGCGACGCGCACCACTATCTTGGTGTCGGTGGAGTAGGCAACTGGGCCGTACCGGACTGGGGAACACGCACCACTATCTGTTGGTGCGAAGGAGCAGGAACGGGTCCGGGCCGGACTGGGAACAAGCACTACTGGCTATGGTGCGAAGGAGCAGGAACAGGCCCGGCCGGACTGGCGACGCACACCCACAGCGCTTGGTGCGAAGGAAGCAGGAACAGGCCGGGCCGGACTGGCGACGCGCACCACAGGCTTGATGCGAGGAGCCAGGAACGCAGGCCGGGCCGGACTGGCGGACGCGCACGCACTGGCTTGGGTGCGAGGAAGCAGGAACAGGCCGGGCCGGACTGGCGACGCGCACCACTAGCTTGGTGTGGGGAGCATGCACGGGCCGTACCGGACTGGGAAACGACGCACCCACTATCTTGGTGCGAGGAGCCAGGAACGGGCCGGGCCGGACTGGGAACAAGGCACCACTGGCTTGGTGCGAGGAGCAGGAACGGGCCGGACCGGACTGGCGACACGCACCACTGACTTGGTGCGAGGAGCAGGACTGAGTTCCTTTATTAACCCCCGCTCTTTCTGCTGCCTAACCAGCTCCTCTCTCCATGGCTCCACTATTTCCTTCTCCCTTTTAGCCTCCTGTAGCGCCTCCCTCTGACCGAATAACTCCTGCTCCCTCTGAACCAACAGCCCCCGTAACATGGTGGCCTCCTCTCCTAACCTGCAGATCCGCCCTTCCACGGCCTCCTGCTGCCTCGTCGTCCACCCCGTGTGCCCCCCCCCCAACATTTTCTTGGGGTTGCCTCTCGGGTCTCCGTCGTCGGCACTGTTGCCGCCGTTTCTCCTCTCCTACCTGGGCATCTACCTTCATCGCCTCCCGATAACGGACGGCCTCCTCCTTAGTAATTCTCCCCCCAACCGAGGAGGACATCTACTAAGGTTACCTCCCGTTGAGTCCCAGGCGTTTGCTCCTTCTGGGCACGCTGCTTGGTCCTCGTTTGGTGGGATCTTCTGTCACGTTCGTTCAATGATGGGTCAGACCAAGGCGCAGCGTGATATGCGTACATGTTTATTCAACTTAATAAACACACGACAAAACAATAAACGAAACGAAACGTGAAGTCCTAAGGTAGACACACAACAAACCTTAACCGGAACAAGATCCCACAACTCAACAGTGCCAATAGGCTGCCTAAGTATGATCCCCAATCAGCGACAATGAGCGACAGCTGCCTCTGATTGGGAACCACACCGGCCAACATAGAACTATACATACTAGAATGACAACCATAGAATATACACACACAGAATATACACACCCTGACTCAACATATACGAGTCCCCTGAGTCAGGGCGTGACAGTACCCCCCCCCAAAGGTGCGGACTCCGACCGCACAACATAAACATAACAGGGTAGGGGCCGGGTGGGCATTCCGCCTTGGAGGCGGATCCGGCTCCGGGCGTGACGACCTCTTACTCTCCGCCTCCCTGTTGCGCCCCTGGTCTGGTCTGGACCTCGGCGCGCTGCTTCCCCTCTCCTTCCTCCCACGATACACCAGGCCCTGTCTGGACCCTGGTGTGGGAGACCCCGAACCTGGAGAGGGGCTGACGTCATGGTCTGGACTGGAGCCGCTGACTGACAGGCACCGGTGGAACGGGCACGGGCCGTGCCAGACTGGACACACGCACCACTGGTCTGGTGCGAGGAGCAGGCACGGGCCGGACCAGACTAGGAACACGCACCACTGGCTTGGTGCGGGGAGCAGGCACAGGCCGTGCCGGACTGGCGACGCGCACCACTGGCTTGGTGCGAGGAGCAGGAACAGGCCGGGCCGGACTGGCGACGCGCACCACTGGCTTGGTGCGAGGAGCAGGAACAGGCCGGGCCGGACTGGCGACGCGCACCACTGGCTTGGTGCGAGGAGCAGGAACCGACCGGGCTGGACTGGCGACGCGCACCACTGGCTTGGTGCGAGGAGCAGGAACAGGCCGGGCCGGACTGGCGACGCGCACCACAGGCTTGGTGCGAGGAGCAGGAACAGGCCGGGCCGGACTGGCGACGCGCACCACAGGCTTGGTGCGAGGAGCAGGAACAGGCCGGGCCGGACTGGCGACGCGCACCACTGGCTTGGTGCGAGGAGCAGGAACAGGCCGGGCCGGACTGGCGACGCGCACCTCTAGCTTGGTGTGGGGAGCAGGCACGGGCCAAACCGGACTGCGAACACGCACCACTAACTTGGTGCGAGGAGCAGGAACAGGCCGGGCCGGACTGGGGATGCGCACCACTGGCTTGGTGTGAGGAGCAGGAACAGGCCAGACTGGCGACGCGCACCACAGGCTTGGTGCGAGGAGCAGGAACAGGCCGGGCCGGACTGGCGACGCGCACCACTGGCTTGGTGCGAGGAGCAGGAACCGGCCGGGCCGGACTGGC